TGAAAACAATAGGTTTTCCTCTGGCAGGAAGGTAACGGTGCTCCCTGCAGTCATGCCAGCTACATTACCTTGGTGGTGTCTACAGACAACACCAGCTCTTCGGCTTAGAAATGGAGATGAGCACCAACCCCCAGAGTCAGACACGACTGGACTTAATCTCAGGGGAAAACCTTTACCTTTACTAATAATAATAACAACAACAACAAAACAACAACAAATTTATTTTGTACCCCGCCCCCATCTCCCCAAAGGGACTCGGGGTGGCTTACATGAGACCAAGCCCGATCAACACAGGTAAAAATGTGACACATTAAAATGCAAACAATAGTATAAAACAAAATAAAACAACATTATAACAATATATAAAACAGGCATCAAAACCAACAACCAATAACAATTCAATTTATCACCACAGGCGGGTGGGCTGGTGCAACAATAATTTAAAGGATAGGCTAGTAAGTAAAGTGCATAGGTCATATGGCAGCAGTAGGGATAAGAGCAATAGTAAAGTGTGAGGTCACGACTTTGGGTCCTATCTGGGGACCAGCTATCTAAGGAATTGTCTACTCAAAAGCACAGCGGAACAACCACGTCTTTAACTCTTTACGGAAAGTGGACAGGGAGGGTGCTAGCCTGATCTTCCTTGGGATGGGAATTCCAGAGCCGGGGGGGCCACAACTGAGAAGGCCCACTCCCTCATCCCCACTGAGACAGAGGTGGAAGCGAGAGAAGAGCCTCCCCAGAGGATCTTAGAGATCATGCAGGTTCATAGTGGAAAATGTGGTCACGAAGATAGGCAGGTCGCAAACCATTTAGAGCTTTATAGGTAATGACCTGCACCTTGAATTGGGACCAGAAACTTATTGACAGCCAGTGGAGCTGTTTAAACAGGGAGTTGACCACTCCCTGTAGTTTGCTCCTGTTAACAGCCTGGCTGCTGACCTTTGCACCAACTAGTTTCCGGGCCATCTTCAGGGGCAGCCCCATGTAGAGTGCATTACAGTAATCAAACGTTGAAGTGACTAAGGCGTAGACCACCATGGTCAAGTCAGACTTCTTGAAGTACGGTTGCAGCTGCGACACCTGAGCATCAAGCATCAGCACTGAGTCCAAAAGGACCCCCCAGATTATGGACCTGTGTCTTCAGGGGGAGTGTAACCCCATCAAGCACAGGTTGCCACCCTAGGCCCTGATCGGCTGAGCATCTGACCTGGAGGACCTCTGTCAAGATTAAACTTCAGCTTGTTGTCCCTCATCCAGCCCATCACATCACACACCAAGGCAGCTAAGACTTCTGGGGGTTTAAGTCTGTCTAGGAATCTCTTGGTTCTCCAACATGACCAGAAGAAGTTGGCCACTGAGTCGCACTGGAGGACCTAGAGATTGCTTTGGAGAACGTTTTTAATCCAATCAAGAGAAAGTCACGTCCACAATAGTCATGTTACTGTAGAGCAGAGGATTCTTTTGGGTACCTCCATGAGGAAATGTGGTCTGTTGGTGTTCTCTCCTTTGTCCGAAAGTACTATTCCTCAATGGGAGATAAAAGAAAGGGAACACGTTTTTTCCCCCAGCACTCCCTTCAGACATTTATCAACTTCTGTCATGTCCCTCAAGCCCCCAATACGTACGAGGGTGGGTCAAAAGGTTTTGCCTCCTGTGTCATTAAAAACGTTATATATAGTACTATAAAGTACTAATATTGTGCTATGGTGATAATATAATATATTGTATTTACATATTACTTGTAAGCTGCTCTGAGTCCCCTTGGCCACAGTAGTCCATTCTCTGGTTACATCCCATGCAGACTACTGCAACACACTCTATGTGGGGTTGCCTTTGAAAACTGTTCGGAAGCACCAAATAGTCCAACAGCCTGCAGCCAGGTTGCTAACAGGAGTGGCGCTCAGAGAGCACATAACTCCTCTGCTGTGCCAAGTCCACTGGCTGCCAGTCTGCTCCCGGGCCCAATTCAAAGTGCTGGCTTAAGCCTATAAAGCCCTAAACAGTTCTGGCCCAGCTTATCTATCCGAACGAATCTCCCCTTATGAACCATCTAGGACTTTAAGATTGTCTGGGGAGGCCCTGCTCTTGGTCCCACCTCTGTCTCAGATGCGTTTGGCGGGAATGAGAGACAGGGCCTTCTCAGTGGTGTCCCCTTGGCTGTGGAACGCCTTTCCTAGGGATATGAGATCCACCCCCTCCCTCTTAACATTTCGCAAAAAGGTTAAAACCTGGCTTTTTGAGCAGGCATTTGCAAATGCAATGTAACAGGCAATGATAGACCATGGAACGACTGACAATGCGATTGAATAATGATTTCAGTAAGGAGACACTGAGGATTTATGTTTTTATTGACTTTTTATGAACTTGTATTTTATATGCTAATGTTTTAAATTGTATTTTATATGTTGGGGGACATCGAATTTTGCCAAATGTAAACTGCCTTGAGTCGCCTTTGGGCTGAGAAAGGCGGTATATAAATACGGCAAATAAATAAATAAATAAATAAATAAATAAATAAATAAATACCGTAAATAAATAAGGGCAGCATATAAATTTTGGGAATAAATAAATAAATAAATAAATAAACTTGTAGTCCGATTAGATTCTTGCCTTCCCATATGATAGCGTGAGGGATTTGGCATTTCAAGGCACGTTTGGGACCAAATATATTAGAAGAGGCAGAACCCCTTCTGGATGCCAACCTCTGCTTTAAGGCTACCYTGTGAGATTTGAGTCCCTTGGGGCCCTTTCTCACTCTTTCTCTGTCTCTTTCTCTCTGCAGTTCAKCCGGCTTCATGTGCTGCCCGGGATGGAGGCAACAAGGCGAGGAGTGTTTGATTGGTAAGAATGAGCCTCATACATATACYTACACATTGTTCTTTTCACATCGTTCATCCCTTTTCTAAGTAGACCAGAGATTACCAGAAATAGTCCGAAGCCAATAGTCCGGGCATCCCCTGGGCAYCGTCCTTGCAGACAGCCAATTCTCTCACCCCAGAAGCGACTTGCAGTTTCTCAAGTCACTCCTGACARGGAAAAAAAGTGGCTTCCATGTCAACAGGGCACAGGATCCACTCCAGGTTTTAGACCAAACCTTTGAGATGCTYTTATTCATGGTGCTGAGCTTATTTGGGGAGGGCTAGCACTAGATAGCTTGGTGTCATAATTTCGATGTTGGACCACAGCTTTAGAGACCAGGGTTCGAATCTCCCATCAGGTATGGAAACCCACTAGGTGACACTCCCTCAGTCTCCTTAAAAGTTCTTTGAAAAAAAATCACCCTCTTTCAACTGACTTCATATTAAAAAGCACACTGCTGGTGTAAAGGAACTACAGGTCTCTATTGTGTACAATACAGACTTGCTATCTGCAGGAACAGGACTGATTAAATCCACTTCCATTAATGTATGTCCTCTATGGTATTCTTGGATCAAGCGTCCTTCATTTCAATAGAATTCACTATTATCCCCGATTTTGTTTATCCACCTCCAGCAAAATATGTCCTCTCTAAGCAATCTCCATGTCCTACAGGAAAGTCTAGGGTATACTTGGGCTGGAGGTCCTCCCTTTCAATAGGGATTGCTGTTTTCCATAATTTTGTGTACTCACGCGAAGTCCGCAAATGTATCCCTTGCGGATATGGGATTTGTACTGTGTGTATGTATATGTATGTGTGTATACACACACACACACAATGCCCATGGCAGTGAGTTGTTAGATCGATCACCCCGCAAGAAACCCTTACAATATTGAGCCAGGGCATTTGAGCAAAGGAAGGAGCACAAGACAGGAACAAAACAGGAGATGGCAGACAATGGGCTGTTGAAGGAAGGCCAACTCAACACAGCAGGCATCCAGTAAACATCCCGTTTTGGGAAACATTGGCCCCTATTCTTTGGCACTGGCACCCTTTTTGTGTGTGTGGCAAGTATCCATCTCCCATGCAGAGGCCAAAAACTTCTTCGATCTCTTTTATAACTCTTTGGGTCATTTCTCAAGCCACCGTCAGAGCACAGTCTCGCTGCGCAGTGATAACGTTGTGAATCCCGAGCTCCACTTCTTCTGCCGTTTCCATTTGACCCTCTGGAACTTGGTGTCCCGAGGTTCCGCTTGCGGATCTCTTTATAGTGTGCTTTCAACGCAGCAGGAGGAAGGAAAGCGGCAGGCTCGAGGAAGAGCAGCGTTCTCCGGACTTGGAGTCCCCAGGCGCTGATGGGAAACTTGGAGGAGCTATTTTTAGCGGCTTCTTCACTCGGCTGCCATTCCAACTTGGCGGAGGCCCGCTCCCTTTTCCTGTGGAGGGATCGCAGTTGGCCTGGCCGGCTGGACTCAAAACTGTGCTGAGCTCAGTGTTATTCCAGTCCGCTGGCCAGACTTTTGGATCTAAGGAGGTCAGGCTTATAGGGTTCCCTTCAGGGAAGGGACGCCTGAGTGGCGTCCTCCCTTGAAATTCATACAAGGCAGAGTGGTGAATTCGTGCTGGGTTTATGTCCGAAGTTCAGAAGAGCCCACCAAAGCGTGTCATGGGGGTGGCTCCTGTAAGCTTCAGACTAGCACCCAGAGTGGAGATTCGAACCCTGCCCTCCAACATCCAATGCTCAAAGACAACACCATGCTATCTAGCTGGAAAAGAGGCAGAGGGATCTTGTAACACAGGCATGGGCAAATTTCAGTCCTCCAGGTGTTTTGGACTTCAACTCCCACAATTCCTAACAGCATCAGGCCCCTTGTTTTTTCCTTTTTTCCTTTCCTTTTCCACTTAAGCAGCTGAGGGGGGAAAGGAAGGGCCGTGAGTCTGTTAGGAATTGTGGGAGTTGAAGTCCAAAACATCTGGAAGGAGGGCTCAAATTTGCCTATGCTTGCTGTAATACCTTCAGCTATGATGTATTGTCAAACGCTTTCTCCGCATCTAAAAATATCAAAGCAATCTGCTTTACAGGAAGGGCCCCATAGTATTATAAGATGTCCACAGAACTCCTAGTATTGCTATACTACTACTCCTAGTAGTAGTATAGTAGTAAAAAATCTGCTTATTCCACATATACTAAAGTTTGCAGAACTTTTTTCAATCTCTTTGTGAAGGATACCAGGGGGAAATTATGCGATTATTCTGTCTCAATGTAAGAGTGTTCCTATTTTGGACAGGAGGGCTTAGTTATTTTCTCCTTTGTTCTGCCTGCATAAATGAGAGCTGAATAACCAACTAATACATTAGGGTCCTCCACCAGATCCCCAACTCTTACCCCATGCATCCACCTTTGCATGTACTTACATTGATGTATTTCTGCTATTTCTCAAGGGTTCTCAACAGTAGGTTCTCCACAGATAAGCAACAGGGTAAGTCCTCTGCTTCGCACCTCCCGCATGATGGGTGTCAAAAGGGTTGCCTGGTCTCACACCTTCTTGAGGTGCCTCCTAACCCCTTTGTGCTCTCCTTTCACCTAACTGGCTGTCTGCTAACCGTCTCTCTGTGCCTTTCTAGATTTCTCTCAAGTGTCCTTCTTGGGGCTTTCTGGGACCTTCTACCTCGTTCCTCACCACTTCTATGTTGGGGACTGTGCTCACAGATGTCCGTATGGTGGTGGGTCTCAAGAAAACAAAAGGGTTTTCTTTATCCGTGGTGCATTCCTGGTTCTTGCTCAGAAGCAAGGATTCCAAACTTGGCAAAGGATGCTTCTTGGAGCATTGCTTTCTCTTTGGGTCCTCTCCTTGTGGCCTTCTTTTCTTACCCACACTCAATTTGGAAGATGCCAACTGGCTGCCCGCAGTTGCCTCATGTTCTCATGGAGAAAACTTGATGCTGTAAGTCCAGGGCATATCTTGGGGGGGGGGGGCGTGTTTGGGTGGAAGAGTATGTTACAGAGATCCGTAGGACAACTAAATGCCAACATATCCTATGGACAAAATCTCTAGGTTTTCCTCAGAAACTTATTTAGGGTCTTCCCAAGGGGAGCATCTCCAACTTAGTGGACCACCAATGCCCAAGCAGTGGATATATCCCAAGACACACTACAGTTAGTGTTGCCAAGTCAAGACTTTCCAAGGCCTAAGATTTCAGGGCCAAAACCAAAGGCGTAGAGCTGACTCTCTAGTGATAGCCCTAGTGATGCAGCAAAGTTGATGTTATGGGGAGCAGCCCCTAGCAATGAGATGCTAAGTAACAACCACGTGTGCACAAAATGCACCATTTGATTTATTGCAGGGAAATGTTTCTGCCCATGCTTTCAAGGCAGTGCTCTCCCCCTGAGATTCCTCCCTGTGCCCTGAGAACTAGGGAATGGGAAACCCTAAGTGAGGTCCACCATTTGCTCATGTCGTTGCTCTTCTCTTCCTTTGTAGCCGTGTGTGAGGGGAACTTCACTTGCACAGACAACGAGGTGTGCGTGAGGCCCAATGAGTGTCGTTGCCGCCATGGGTACTTTGGTGCCAACTGTGAAACCAGTGAGTACAAGAAACGCCAGGAAGTGAAATGTGCTGGGGACTCTGCTGGCATTGACGCTTGCAGAAATGGAAGATACCCAGAATTGTATCATGCTACGTAATGGTTGCAAAACGATTTCACCGTGGAATCCTAGGATGTGTAGTTTATTCCTGGTTGTTTACCTTCAAGTCGTTTCCTAAGGTGAACCAGTGCTCAGACCTAAAACGAATCACTTTGGGGGAAGATACATCCTGACATGGGGGCTAATGACCCATGCCACTAGGAGAGGTGTTGAGCCCTATGATTTATCTTCCATGTTCTGTCACTAATACCCACTTTTGTTTTGTTTCAGTTTTATTTATTTTTTAAACTATGAAAAAAATAAGTAAGCAAATACTTAACTGGAAAAAATGGAATTGGGATATCACAACCAGAATCAAGGTTTGCAAAATGAAGATTCTACTCAAGATATTGTTCCTTTTTCAAACACTACTATTTAATAGTCCATCCAGAATAATAAAGAAATGGGACAACTCAATTAAATGTTGGATAGCAGGGGCTAACAAGAGTAGAATCTCTCATTGGATATTATGCTCGCCAGAAGAGAATGAATGTTGGGGAGCCCTAAACTCACAGAGTTATTTCGAGGCATTCCAATTAGTGAGATTATTGGAATTGGATTTGGACAAATCAAAAAGATGGGCAAGATTGAAGAAATTAATCCCTTAATTAAGAGAAAGGTAGATTAAGGGAAAGGTAGATCAGTGGTTCTCAACCTTCCTAATACTGTGACCCCTTAATACAGTTCTTCATGTTGTGGTGACCCCCAACCATAAAATCACTGTATTTTCTGGTATATAAGACTACTTTTTAACTCAGGAAAACATTCTCAAAAGTCAGGGGTCATCTTATATGCCAGGTATCATCTTATAGGGCAGGTGCTGAAGCTCCGAGCCGGACTGGAGAATCTTCGGTCGCCACATATTGTGGGGGGAGCTAAAAAACGGCCCCGGCCGCATCCCCGCCATATGCAGCGACCATATGAAAGCAGCAAGGGCAGCGCTGTGCAAGTACAATAGAAGAAAATCCTCTCACCAGGATTTGTGGAAAGAAGTGACGTAATGTGGTCTTGATGACAAGGTGAGGGGGCGCCTAACTGGGAAGGTGTAAGTGAAGGGCGGAGCAAGCAGCAAGCATACCGTATGCCAAAGGTATGGAAAAAAGAGATACAGCGGCTCTGTGACCAGAAAAACACACTTCTTTCACCTGTCTGGCCTGCCCTTGCCACCGTACCTCCTTCTCTGCCTCTCAGATCTCGCTCCTGTGGACTGCAGTGAAATGGCGCAGGCACGCATGTGCGAGATCTGAGAGGCAGAGGAGGTACAGTAATAGGAAAATTACCATATTGAAATCAAATCTGATGTTTCTTAAATTTTTATTTGGTGTGCATTGGAAGAGGGGTAGTCTTATACAGTGAGTATTTCCCAAACTCAATATTTTAACTGGAAAAGTTGGGGGTCGTCTTATACGTTCAGTCATCTTATACGCTGGAAAATATGGTATTTTCGTTGCTACTCCATAATTGTAATTTTGCTGCTGTTATGAAGCATCATGTAAATATCTGATATGTAGGATGTATTTTCATTCACTGGACCAAATTTGGCACAAATACCCGATACTCCCAAATTTGAATACTGGTGGGGTTGTGGAGGGATTGATTTTGTCATTTGGGAGTTGTAGTTGCTGGGATTTATAGTTCACCTACAATCTAAGAGCATTCTGAACCCCACCAAAGATTGAACTGAACCAAACTTGGCACACAGAACTCCCATGACCAACAGAAAATACTGGAAGAGTTTGGTGGGCATTGATTTGAGTTTTGGAGTTGTAGTTCACCTCCATCCAGAGAGCACTGTGAACTCAAATAATGATGGATCTGGACCAAATCCTCAATATGCCCAAATGCAGACACTGGTGGAGTTTGGGGGAAATAAACCTTGACATTTGGGAGTGGTAGTTGCTGGAATTTATAGTTCATCTATAATCAAAGAGACCCTTGAACCACATAAACAATAGAATTGGGCCAAACTTCCCACACACAACCCCCAGGACTGACAAAAAATACTGTGTTCTCTGATAGTCTTTGTCAACCGCTCTGACACCTCCTCATGACCCCCCCCCCCCCCCCAGTGATCCCGACCCCCAGGTTAGATACAAGGACGTGACGGGCCAGTGCACCTGCCTACCCTGGATGGCGAGGCGCTACGCCCATCATCATTGGTAAAGAGTCTGGGAGTCCTTTTGGACCCTCTGCTGACTATGGAGACCCAAGTCTCCGCCATTAGCAGAACTGCCTTTTTTCATCTGCGGCAGGCTAGACGGCTGCCCCCTACCTGTCCAGGGATGACCTAGCTACAGTGATCCAGGCTACGGTCATCTCAAGACTGGACTACTGTAACGCTCTCTACATTGGCCTTCCTCTGTCGGTGATCCGGAAGCTCAAGTTGGTACAAAATGCAGCTGCTCGGCTTCTTGCGGGAATTCCGATGAGATGCCACATAACACCAATCTTACTACAGCTGCATTGGTTACCAATTGAGCACCGGATCACTTTCAAAGTGATGGTACTCACCTTTAAGGCCTTGCATGGTCTGGGGCCGATGTACCTGAGGACCGCCTCACCCCCTACCAACCCCAGAGATCCCTCCGTTCCGAGGACCAAGATCTATTGGAAATTCCCAGTGTCAAGACCTTGTGTCTAACAGCAACCAGGCGCAGAGCCTTCACAGCATGGCACCATCACTCTGGAATACTTTGCCACCTGAAGTCCGTGCCCTGTGGGACCTATCAGGTTTCTGCAGGGCATGTAAGACATACCTGTTTCGACAGGCCTATGATCTTTGATATTGTTGCCAGAAGGCTGAGAGGGACAGTATACAATACAGTAAATAAATAAATAAATAAATAAATAAATAAATGAAAATGGCAAAGTATATTTCCAATATATAAAAAAGATAGAACCGTAGAGTTGAAAGAGACCTTGTGGGCCATGCAGTCCAACCCCCTGCCAAGAAGCAGGAAAATCATATCCAAAGCAGTCCTATTGGATCTGCTTTCAATAGGACTAATGAATCATTTAAAAGGTCAGATATTTGGGAAACTGATAAATTATATGAAACAGAATAGAATAACAAAACTTGGCGAGTTATTAAGCTCTGATAGATCAATAAAAAATGGGAGGAGTTAAAGAATAAGTGTGGAGAAAGAAACTGGTTGTTATGGCATGGAATGAGCCAGAGAATAATAGAATGGAAAAGAAAGCCCAGAAGCAAACTGAGACCAAATTTTAAAATGGAAATTTGAGAAAGAGAAAGGAATTGGGGCATTTATGCATTAAAAAATGAAACACACACACACACAACATGAAACACACTTTGAGATATGGAAGGACAAATTAAATTATCAGGAGAATGAGATTGAGATTTGGATGAGAGCAATTAAGGAAATTGAATGTTTTTGTTTGTTTGTTTGTTTTGTCACGCTCCAGAGTGCCCCCGCCAGTTCTGGGGCCCAGACTGCAAGGAGATGTGCCGCTGCCACCCCAATGGGCAGTGCGAGGACGTGACGGGCCAGTGCACCTGCAACGCCAACCGCTGGGGGCCCAAGTGTGAGAATGCCTGCTTGTGCAAGCACGGCAAGTGCGACCAGAAGACGGGCAAGTGCACCTGCGAGCCCAACTGGTGGGGCCCCCAGTGCGCCAGCGCCTGCTACTGCAGCCTCAACTCCCAGTGCGATCAGCTGACTGGTACCTGTAACTGCCAGCCCGGCTGGTGGGGCCGAAGCTGCAACAACCAATGCGCCTGCAATAACTCCCCCTGTGAGCAGTTCACGGGGCGATGCCAGTGTCGTGGGCGCACCTTTGGGCCCCGCTGTGACCGCTACTGCCAGTGTCACATGGGCAAGTGCAACCAGGTGGACGGGACATGCACCTGTGATCCAGGCTACCGGGGAAAGTTCTGTCGTGAGCCATGCCCAGCTGGCTTCTATGGGCAAGGCTGCAGGAGGAGGTGAGGGGAGACTCCTTGGGCAGGGAGGGATGTAGTGGATTCGGGGCTCACAGGGTTGAAGTCTAAGAATTTTGATCCCCGGCCACCCCACTCAGATTCCCCTGTTCCCTTGGAAGTTTAGCTGCAGGGTTCAAATGGTTTCCAAGCAGCAACATATAATGGCCTATCCCTGTTTTAATCCAAACTGGGTCAGAATCTGAGTCGGAAATGGAGTCAGAAGCCATTTTCTTCAGTTGGCATCTGTATTTATTTGCGGTATTTATATTTATATACCGCCCTTCTCAACCCCGAAGGCATAGAAACATGCCAACTCCTGCTTCATAATCACAACATTAAAAGCCCAGTCTATTTATCATTTATTTATTTATGCCACCCTTCTCACCCCGAAGGGAGAGCCCCCGGTGGCGCAGTGGGTTAAACCCCTGTGTCAGCAGGACTGAAGACTGACAGGTCACAGGTTCGAATCCAGGGAGAGGCGGATGAGCTCCCTCTATCAGCTCCAGCTCCTCATGCGGGGACATGAGAGAAGCCTCCCACAAGGATGATGAAGCGTCCCCTGGGCAACGTCCTTGCAGACGGCCAATTCTCTCACACCAGAAGTGACTTGCAGTTTCTCAAGTCGCTCCTGACACGACAAAAAAAAAAACCAAAGGGGACTCAGAGTGGCTTACAAGTTATATGTACATACAATATATTATATTATTAGCATAGCACAATATTAGTATTATATAATACAATATTGAAGTATACCACTATACTGCAATATTATTAGTAATATTATATGTAATATAAATATAAAATTATTATATTGTATTATTATTAACATTATATTATATTACATTATAATATTATCAATATTATATGTGTATACAATATATTATGTTATTAACACAGCACAATATTAGTATTATATGTTAGTATATTGTACTATACCACTATACCGTAATATTATTAGTAATATTACATGTAATATGAGATATAAAATTATTATATTGTATTATTATTAGTATTATATTGCATTACATTATAATATTATCAATATTATATGCGTATACAATATATTATTAGCACAGTGCAATATTAGTATTATATATTACTATATTGTACTATGCCACTATACTGTAATATTATTAGTAATATTATTATTAGTCTATCATATATTTTCTTTCATAGGAATGCAGGTAAGTTTTTTGGTTCTGAAATTTCCCCCAGGTCACTATATTTCATAGCCTCCCAATCTACATCACCTTCTGATTCATTTGTCGTGTTGTGTGTTTGTGAAATGCCTTGTGCTGTTATATCACTACAATTAAATTATTAGTAATGAATATGTGCCTTTTATGGAGGACCTAAATAGTCGCAAAACAGAGACGACAGGGTCAAACTCTGTAGTCCTGGCTTCACTCTCATGTCTTTTAAGGTGTGTTGGTCTCAAGTGGGCAAGACCTGTTGGCCTTACAAAACACCCGCTCTGATAAATGTTTTTTATTGAGGAAGAACAAGACAAGTGCTGGCATTTTTAAGACAGCAAGTTCATCAGCAATTCAGATGATGTCGTTTTGGAATGCGCAGTTCTGGATTTAGGAATAAATGCCAGCCTGTAGTTGGTATGAGAGGCACTACAAACTATTCTCTCCATGGACCCCTTTGTGGCTTTTCTAGGTGCGGACAGTGCAAGGAGCTGCAGCCCTGCACCATTGTGGATGGCCGCTGCCTGGCGTGCGAGGCAGGCTGGAATGGGACCAAGTGCGACCAGATCTGCTCCCCAGGCTTCTACGGCGAAGGCTGCGACCAGATCTGCCCTCCTTGTAAGGAGGGCCATACTTGCAACCACGTCAACGGCAAGTGTCCTCATTGCAATCCTGGCAGGATTGGAGACAGGTATGTTCGGTGGACTCACAGTCATTGGCTCCATTTGCACTGGGTTTATTTGGTAGCTGGAAGTATGGTTGAGAAAGGAAAGAATATTGTCAGTTGCCCAAGATAGCTTGATGCCCTGTTTCAAGCAGCAAAATATATTGGACTGGTCCCGGAAATAGCTACAGTGTGCAGTACTGTTGTGTGGTTTGGATATAGCCTTTTAATGAATAAGGGCTTTCACTTTAGGAATGGTTAAATTGCCTTGTAGGTAACGTCGTCGTAGGGTTACTTTGGAAGATGCTTTGATATAGCTTTTAATCTGTATGATTTTAGACTGCGGGAGACCATTGTCAACACCCGCTGTTAGGACCAAGGCGGGATGGATGGATGGATAGATTTTGCTTATCTAACCAGCTCTTTCTTGCCCTTTGGTCACAGGTGTGAGACCAAATGCAGCAACGGGACATATGGGGATAGCTGCTCCTTTTTCTGCGGTGAATGCTACAATGGCGAGTGCCATTTTGAGACCGGACATTGCCTCTGCTGGCCGGGATACCGTGGCATTTCGTAAGTAATGGCATTGGAGTCCAGTTGGTCAAATTATTTCCTGGGTTATCATTGTAGATCCCAATTATATCCCAATAGCGGCTCCCTTTAACAATGAGAATACGGGTGGAATTGCAGTACAGTAGGACCCCTGTAAGCAGGCATGTAGCCGGGGGGGGGGCTTGAGGGGCTTGAGACCCCCCCGAAATTCTAATGGTGGTTCGCGAAAAGGCCTTACTGGTGCATTATTTAAACTGTTATGTTTATTCATATCATGATCTGATCACCATACTCAATATATCCCATATGCATGGGGGTATTGGGGTAATGATACAAAAGGTTTGCTAGGGTAGACCCTCTTTCACTCAGACTCAGCCCCCCCCGAAACTCAGCCCCCCCGAACCCCCTCAGCCCCCCCGCCCCCCGCCCCCCGAATCGAAATCCTGGCTACGGGCCTGCCTGTAAGCAATATCTGCAGTTTCATTGAGCAAGGATTTGAAATCCTGGAGGACTCTAATGTCTTCTTGGTCTCTAGTCCAATGCTCACTGCGCCTTGCCGCCTTTGGTGTTGCAACTGTAAAAAAAACTTTCTTTCAACTTTGTGACTTTTGTCCGAGTTTCTCTGGTTCACTAAGAGGGAAAGCTGCTCTGGAAGCGTGTTGCCTTCCTCCTTCATTTGAGCTGCCAATCTATGTCATGTGCCTCCAAAGCATTAGTCACTGCTGGCTCATTCCCCTTTAATAGGACAAGCCTCGTATTATTTCCCCTTTTTTCACTCAATTTCAGCACAGCAAGCAAATCTCAACCTCTTGCATACCATGTCTGTTTGGGAAAGAATGCGTGTCTCTTTCCAAATGAGCACTCCAACCAAACGTCATTGATCTCCCAAAGACATGTTGGGTTGGATCACAAAGACCATAACCCCCTGTTTCTTTGGGAAGGAGGGAAATCACCAAAGAGGAATTCAAACAAATAATCAACAACAACAACCAACTTTATTACAGCCCATGGACCTGCATCTGTTAAATAGATAACATGCAAGAGTTAATAGATCACTTGCATCTGGGGAAATATACTATGCAGGCACATACTGCACAGTGTCAGGTAATACCCTGGTCAGAGACTAGTCTGTTTCTCAGGAATGGTTAGACAATCGGGTAAGGATTGGCCTTGTTGAGCTGAGTAATAGTGACAATGCAACAAGATGTGTTCTAATGATGCTATTTCTTTACCACCACACGGGCATAATCTTTGGGAGTAGGGGATACCAGATAGTCTGCCATTTAGCAGCTCTGGTGGAAATGCATTTAGTATCACAAATGCATATACAATGACCCCACTAAGGCTGAAGTATCCACTAACTTGAAGACCAAGGTGAAGCTATTGCATGAATTACAGTGGAGCTTTTACTGGGACCAATAGTTAAGTATTATACCACCCTTCTCAACCCCGGGTTCAAATCTTCCGCAGGACATTTATTTGTAAGGAAAAGGTTCGTAAGGCTAAGGCACAAAATGAACTCAGGCTTACCAGAGAGATTAAAACCAATCAAAAGGGGTTGTTTGCTTATGTCAGTAGAAAAAGGAAATGGTAGGGTTTCTGCGAGGAGAAGGTGGTTAACTGCTAACGGGATAGGGAAAAGGTAGAGCTGCTCAACTTCTTCTTTGCCTCAGGACACTTCCAGACAGCACTAAATCATGGGTTTTAGTGAGGGGCAAAAATCCCAGGACTTCAGGAGAGATCCACATACAAACCTGTTGGTCCCGGGATTTCTGCCTCTGTTGTCCAGACCTGATGCTTTGTTCCGAGATTTCGAGGATCCCAAGATGGCCGTCGTGGGACTTCCACCAAAAACTGGTGGTTTTTAAGAAAACCTGCAAGATGCAGATATGCGGATATGCAGAGATTCTATTATGCAGATCACTGTAAAAGTTCCATGTGCAAATTAGAGGAAACTGTACTCTCCACATGTTTCATAAAGTTTCTGGCACACAAACAAAGTTTTTTCCTTCTACTCAAGTGTCACCTTCTTTTTAGGAATCGACCAATCAGGAACAAGCATCTAAAACCCAGGAACAAACCCAGATTAAAAAAATCTCATGATTTCCAGTTGCAGGGACATATAGACATGTGAAGATCTGGATATTTGGCTCAAAACCACAGCATTCCTGCACCTAGAAATCTCACGTTGTTTGCCTTTTGTAGCGATTGCTTCCGGGTTTACAGGGAATGGCATCTGTCCACCCTCCTGTTTGCTGCAGAAGCTCTGGAGATAAAGGTACTGTCTGTATGGGCCATCAGTCTTCTGCCAAAAAGAGACTGGGGTTCAACCTGAGCAATATGGAGTGGACAAGATAATAGGGGAAATGCAAGCCAAAATAAGTTAAGAAGTAGATCAGGAATACCTGGCTGCACTAAATGAATTCAAGTCTCCAGGGCCAAATGAACTACATCCAATAGTATTGAAGGAACTAGCAGAAGGCATTTCAGAACCACTAGCAATAATCTTTGAGAATTCTTGGAGAACAGAGGAAAACCCATAAGAAGACTGGAGGAGGGTAATTGTGGTCCCGATCTTCTAAAAGGGAACAAAAGATTACCCAAACAATCACCGTCCAGTCAGCCTAACATCAAGAACAGGAAAGATTCTGGAGCAGATCATGAAGGAGGCAGTCTGCAGTCACTTAGAAAGGAATTCTGTGATCACTAAAAGTCAACATGGATTTCTCAAAAACAAGTCATGCCAAACTCATCTTCTCTCTTTTTTCGATAGAGTTACAAGCTTGGTAGATGTAGGGAATGCTGTGGATGGAGCATACTTTGATTTCAGGAAGGCATTCAACAGGTTACAGCCTGTGTTAGATGGGATTACACTCCCACTGAAGACACAGGTTCGCAGCTTGAGAGTGATCCTGGACTCATCGCTGAGCCTGGAACCCCAGATCTCTGCGGTGGCCGGGAGAGCTTTTGCATAGTTAAAACTTGTGTGCCAGCTGCACCTGAACCTTGGGAAGTCTGATCTGGCCACAGTGGTCCGTGCTCTTGTCACATCCCAAATAGATTACTGCAATGCGCTCTACGTGGGGTTGCCTTTGAAGACTGTTCAGAAATTGCAATTAGTCCAACGGGCGGCAGCTAGATTACTCACCGGAGCATCATTCAGGGAGCATACCACCTCCCTGTTATGTCAGCTCCACTGGCTGCCGATCCAATTCCAAGCACAATTCAAAGTTCTGGTTTTGACCTATAAAACCCTATACGGCTTCGGTCCAGCGTACCTGTCCGAACGTATCTCCTTCTATGTCCCACCTCAGAGTTTAAGATCTTCTGGGGAGGCCCTCCTCTTGGCCCCGCCTCTGTCTCAAACACGTTTGGTGAGGACGAGGGACAGAGCCTTCTCGGTGGTGGCCCTCCGCCTGTGGAATTCACTCCCTGAGGAAATTAGGTCATCGTCATCCCTCCTCACCTTTAGAAAGAAGGTAAAAACGTGGATGTGGGACCAGGCCTTCGGGCAATTAGGCGGAAAGGACAATTGACAATGTGGACAATGGCTTGGAAATGGATTGTGGATAAGTTAAATGGAGTTCTCAATCATAGTATACGGCTAGATAAATGGCCACCAGACTGGTAATAGCTCAGTGGATTGTAAGTATATTGTTTTAATGTTTTATGGTTAATGTTTGTATGCTTCTAACTATTATAATTATTGCTGTTTGTATTTTATTATGCGGCATCGAATTGTTGCCAATCCCTCTGAGGAGCATCTTAAAGAACTGGGTCTGTTTAACCTGCAGAAGAGAAGGTTGAGAGGAGATATGAGAGCCATATATATAAATATGTGAAAGGCTATCCTAAGGAGGAAAAAGCAGGCTTGGTTCTTGCTATACTTGAAACTAGAACTAGGAGCAATGGGTACAAATTACAAGAAAGGAGATTCCACTAGAACATGAGGAAGAACTTCCTGACTGTAAGAAGAGCTGTTCAACAGTGGAAAGCTCCTTCCTTGGAAACTTTTAAACAGAGGCTGGATAATATAATATATTGTATGTACATATAATATTGATCTTGATAAAATAGTGAAGAGTAGAGACATCACACTGGCAATGAAGATCCGCATAGTTGTTGTTGTTGTTCATTCGTTCAGTCGTCTCCGACTCTTCGTGACCTCATGGACCAGCCCACGCAATGGTATTCCCCATAGTCACCTACGGATGTGAGAGCTGGACCATAGGGAAGGCTGAGCAAAGGAAGATAGATGCTTTTGAACTGTGGTGTTGGAGGAAAGTTCTGAGAGTGCCTTGGACCACCAGAAGATCCAACCAGTCCATATTTCAAGAAATAAAGCCCGACTGCTCATTGGAGGGAAGGATAGTAGAGGCAAAGATGAAGTACTTTGGCCACATCATGAGAAGAAAGGAAAGCTTAGAGAAGAGTATGATGCTAGGGAAAATGGAAGGAAAAAGGACAAGATGGATGGATGGCATCCTTGAAGGGACTGGATTGACCTTGAAGGAGCTGGGGGTGGTGACGGCCAACAGGGAGCTCTGGCATGGGCTGGTCCATGAAGTCACGAAGAGTTGGAAACGACTGAACAAATGAACAACAACAAGAACATATAATATTGATACTATTATAATGTAATACAATATAACACTAATAATAATACAATATAATAATTGTATATTATATAATGCATGTAATATTACTAATAATATTGCAGTATAGTCGTATAGTACAATATAGTAATATATAATACTAATATTTGCTGTGCTAATAACATAATATATAGTATACACATATAATATTGATAATATTATAATGTAATACAATATAATACTAATAATAAAATATAATAATTTTATGTTTCATATTACATGTAATATTACTAATAATATTTCAGTATAATGGTATACTACAATATAGTATTATATAATACAAATATTGTGCTATGCTAATAATATGTATAATATATTGTATGTACATATAACTTGTAAGTCGCTCTGAGTCCCCTTCGGGGTGAGAAGGGCGGGATATAAATGTTGTAAATAAATAAATAAATAGTCTCTTCCAACTCTATTATTCTGTGATTCTATGATGGGCATTCTGGTTCAACTTGTGTAGAGTGGTTTATTGGAGGTTCTCGAGAAGAAGCTTGTTTTGGCACAGCTCTCTAATAGAATGGCAGGAGAAAAAGGAGATTTTGAATTGCCACCCAAATCCCTTGTGAAATAGAGCTCTGAGAGCCCAGCTGCTCCATGGCTTCCATCGTCTCTTTGCCCATTGGCACGTGGCGTGGCAGCGGTCAGGGAGCCAGGCCAAGGGGGAAAGCTTTGGATGTTCAAGAGGCATGAAAAGCTGGCGGCCAGAGAGCCTCGGCAGCTGCTTTCGGCCAAAGCACGCCAAGCAGCTGTGCCTCGGGTTGTGCTGAAATCTTGCCCGTGGAAGGATAGGAAACCCTGCACCCAGATAGTGCGCAAGTTCAGGTCGATCCTGCCCCCCAAAATATAGCATCCTAGACAAACAAGCCACTTCATTAAGCGCAGAACGTCACTCCTCTCCGTGTAAACGCAGGGTTTTCCAAGCTCTGGGCCACTCGGCTTTTGGCTCTGTTGATTTGCCCGTTTTGGGAGCTGGGCCGAAATCTGGTTGGAAGTGATTTCATTAAAACAACACAGAGAAATAGCACCTTTTCAGCTTCCCAACAACAACAACAGCTAGAGTGGTGGGACAGATAAAGGCAATGGAATTGGCAAGACTGAACTGGGTGCAAATTCCCATCTCATGGAAAAAAACATAACCCAACAAACCTGTGCCTAAGCTCTGCAGAAGTATGCAAAATGTTATCTTGCTATTTGTTGCAAACAGACACAAAACTTCCTGCCTGTTGCAATTATTGAAAATAAAGGAAGAATAGGAGTGAAAGATAAATAAAGGAACAAACAAACTTCCTCCATGGGGTGTAGCAAAAGCTGTCTTGGACACACTAACGTTTCATTGATCTGGATACTTTGTCACTTTGCTTTCCGTTAGACACACAGACTCTTTCAGGGTTCCAAACACATTGTCCAACCAGACCCACACAAAATAGGTTCAGCCACTCAAGGTCCATTTGATACAGCAGTATGCCATCAAGAGGACTGAATCTCAAGTTGACTGAGATCCCTCTTCCTCTGTTTTTTCCCAGCTGTAACCTGACGTGTCAGACAGGCCAGTATGGCATGAATTGCGCTGAATCATGCAACTGCCACGAGGATTCGTGTGACCCCTTGACCGGAACCTGCCACATGGGTATGTTTGTAAAGCAAGGCGACGTTCTCCAGCACAGCTTTGGGGTTGCTTTGGCCTCTGGCCCCTGAGGATGGAAGTGTGAGCAGGATGTATTGACCAGACTCCTTCTGTGTCCCAATGGCATCTTGATTCCGTTTCAGAGGCCAACCAGCGGATGGGGGTCATTGGCGCCGGAGCCCTCTTGATTTTGCTGCTCACCCTCCTCCTCTCGCTTCTGTGCTGCTGTTGCGTTTGCCGCAAGAAGGACCAGGCTCGAGAGTAAGCATCGATGTGCGATTGGGGATGAGGAGGATGGGACAGTTTACTTTGAGGAGGAGTATATGGGTTATGAGGCTGCAACAAGATTCCAAACCTGGGAATGCTTCTATCTATCTATCTATCTATCTATCTATCTATCTATCTATCTATCAACTTCTACCAAATGCAAGGAGGAAGGGAGGGAAGGGAAGCTCCCCCATCAAGTGTTTTCATAGTCTGACTTCCTTTCCAGCACCATACAGGACCCGACCCTCAAGAAGTCCCCAAGACGGCTCTGCGGCAGGTTCAGCCGAATCAGTATGAAGCTTCCCCGGATCCCTCTCCGCCGTCAGAAATTGCCCAAAGTTGTAGGTAAGAACCCCATCCACTGTTTCCATCATGCTTCTCTTCTATGGATGATCATCAGCTTGGAAGCTTTTATAAAGGAGGGCTGTGAAAATCTATTGAAGCAAGGTTATCAAGGCCTACAACTAGCAGCTATGGCTCTACATTGCTTTCCAGATCAATGGTGGCATCCTTTGTAGGACCAGGCTTTGGGGAACATGACCCAGAGGGTGCTACTCGCTTCATGTCCCATTGGTGGGTTATCCATGGGACCTTAGGTGTCTGTTGTAGGATCAGGATGCTGGACTATAACAGCCTTAAGTGTGACTCTTCTATTCTGGTTCTAGACAATCCTAGAACCTAGTTAATGTCAAGAATGTTCTCGCTAATGGTCTAGCACCACTGTCCGACTTATGGGCTCCCCGTGGAAAACTGGTTGTCTATTGTGGGATCGGTATGCTGGCTTTGGATCTGACCCAACATTCCTCTATTCAAGCATAATAATAATAATACTTTATTTATATTTCACCCAATCTCCCCGAGGGGGCTCAGGGCAGATTCCAACATATATATATATACAGATGCCGGCAAATATTCAATGCCTAGAAACAAAGACACAGACAAAGGCAAAGTCTTCCCCTTTCATCTCCGGCTCTAGGGAAGGTGCTCATCTCCATTTCCAAGCTGAGGAGCCTGCGTTGTCCGTAGACACCTCCTGGGTCATGTGGCTGACATGACTGCATGGAGCACATAGATTATACTAGAACCTAGTATCACAAATAGTGTCACTAATGGTCTACTGCCATTAGTCTGCTCTGGAGGCTTCCTGAAGGCAATGAGTTGTCCAGTGTGGAAATGGAATCTTGGACTAGATAGATTCAACATAGCTATTCTTTACAGTCTTCTATTCAGAAATACACTATTCTAGAACCAGGTTTGGATCAAGAATTGAGTTGCTAATGATGGACTACTATAATCCTTCTTGGGGCTTGCTGTGAGCAACTCTGTGGAAACACAACACTAGACACATGTGGTCTTGGGTCTGACCCCAGCATGGTTATCCTTTGCATTTAGGCATAGACTAGTCTATTTATCAAAAAAAAAGCCAGGCATGTGGTGATAGTGGGTATAACCATAACCCCGTGGGGATCAATGCTCTCAACACTGAATTTTCCATAGAATTTGGTACTGTCTGAGCAGAGGCCTGGGTCTCATCTGAGCGTTTGTGAGTAGGGCCGGATTTTTCTCATTTTGCCTTCCCCTCTGGCCAGAGCTCCATCTTCAGCCCTTCCAGACACAGCTCCTCTGAGCGGAGGGAGCCGCTTTCCCACCGAAAGCATAACAAGCCCTGTGTTTACAGAAGCATGCCGGGAAGGGGGTTTTCCCTCCCTTTCCAGAATAAGGGCTCCCTCTGTGCCGCCAAGGCACTGCCTGAATGGGCCTGTGTGTGTGCCTTTCCTGGCATTTGCCACTGGTCGGTGGCTTTGTATAAACAGGGGCAGCCAGAGCACGCTCCCCCTCCTTGGCGGACACTGACTTTGCCTTGGTTGGATTGGTTCAGTGCCTAAAAGAACGATCCAGGCTTTCTCACTCAACTTTCTCCATTGCCCCTTCTGCCCCGATATCGATAAGAAAATTAAATTAAGTTTTGCCAGGCTGGGCCAATAAGTTTGCGATGGCGCTTAGCCAGACATTGAGACCCACGCGGGAGGTTACGAAGACAGTTACTAAGTTTGGCTCTGGTGTACCTGAGTCATTTTCATCATCATCATCATCACCTCTCTTCTCCTGAATTCAGACTCAAGGTATCATAGAGCATCAAAGTCATGATGGTATACAGAAAAAGAGGCTAAAGATGAGCCTGAATGTGTCCTTTTTGGTACGCCTTCCTTTTCTAACTCTCACTGTTTTCATGATTGGTTCAAAAGAGGCTTGCTCTTGCTTTCCTCAAGGCTGAGAGAGTGTGACTTGTCCAAGGTCACCCAGTGAGCTTCTATGGCCAAGTGGGGATTCGAACCCTGGGCTCCAGTGTGCTAGTCCAAGGCTCAAGCCCCTACATGTTGCATCGAAAACTTTGCCAAAAATCTCAATGGGAGGAGAGCAACTTGGGTTTGTCCTAGCCTCCATAGGAAGGGAACGCTAGGGTGTAGCCAACAAGAAGGCCCTCTCAACCCAGGAGCCCTGTCATTTGTGGGAGGGGGACACACTCCCTCCTGAAGCGCTCACTCCAGAGCAGGCCTGGCCCGCTACTTCACCCCACAGCCAGAGGGTTGTTATTTCACTGGAAAGAAATGCCTGGGTCTCAGGCTTGTCTGTTTGCCTTGGCATGCAGGCCTTGCCATATGTTCTTTTGATTATCCAACTCTCCTCTGCAGAAATGGTGGGGACTAGGCCTTGCGAGTGGCTGGTGGCAGCAAGGGGGGACAGACCCCGGAGTTGGCTCAGAAATGAGAGCAAGCCGCCCCTCTCCTCCTTGTTTTGGTTTCTGAGACTTCGGAGTAAAGGGAAAGCAGGGGGGATGTCAGAACTATTGGAATAGGACTGTTCTTTGGATGCCTTCAAACCAAGGTTGGATGAGCACCTCTCAGGAGTGTTTTAGCTGTACACTTTAGAACAGGGTTGGTCTAGGTGGCCACTGAAGTTCCCGTTCAAGTTGAGGATTGTCTTCCAAAAAGACACAGTGTGCCCCAGAAAACATTTATTTTTTAAATAATGAAGAGTGTGCTTCATATGTTGCTTTTTAAGTTCATTCCATCCCACAAGGCTCCCCCTGGGTCACTGAAGCCCAAAAGAACCATCTTTGTTCTGGATCCTCCTGCCTCTTCTTTTCTAGCCGCCTTCTCTCACCGCGATTGGAAAGAACGAAGGCAGAGGCCTCCTTTCCCACAAGGCAGGCCTTTGAGATCTGCAAAGCAAGGAAGACGGAGCGGGAGGAGGCAAGAGGCCCACCGGAAGTGGCACAGCTTTTGCTCTCGCTGGCGGTGTAATTTATTTGGCAAGAGCTTGGACCAGATGTCTGAGTGCCGAGCGGCTACAGGAAATGCGGCGTCCCCACGGGCTCTTCTTTGCACAGAAGCCGTCCTGTTTGGGGTCTTCTCAGCCCTGCGCTGTCAGAGCTGGGGGGGGGGGGCTCCCCCTCCAGTTGCTTTGGCAATGCATTCTGGGGCCGTGGAACGGCTAGGTTCCATGGGAGATGTGCCGTCCAATTTCCTGGCACTTTCTCTTTTCCAGTCGGGCCTGAGTGTTGATTTGGCTACAATGTCCGTTGAGGCATAATTTGAATCTCTTGCCTGCAGAGCAAAATGACACCAAGCAATTACCCATATCGTTATTTTACGTGATGGTGGTTTTCTTACGCTGTCCCTGTATGGAAGGGGTGGGCAACCTGTGGCTCCCCACAGTCTTTTCTATTGCAACTCCCATAATCTCTTAGCACAGAGTATATATTCATGTATAAGTCATGTCTAGGCATGCATGAGTATAAGTCTAGACTTATTTATTTATTTATTTATTTATTTGCGACATTTATATGCCTTATATTTCTATATTTATACATGAGTATGTATTGCATATGTCCGTATACATGTATAGGTATAGATTTATACTCATGTATAAGTCTAGAAATACTCATGTATATGTTTAGGCAACTACTGAGAACTGCTGCTCTAGCTGAATTCTGAAATTATTGTATATACTGTAGAAGTCATTTCCAGACATAGATGAGTATCAGACTAGACTTATACATGAGTATATACAGTAATTTTGGAATTCAGCCTGAGCAGCCTTTCTCGGTGGTTTTAAGAAAAGAAAAGGAGACTCTTTCAGCAGTGAACAGGAAGTTCTTCTTGGCTGGTGGTGGGTTTCCCTCTTGGTACTGTGTGAGAATACAAGACCACTCCACCAACTGGTCTTATGCCCCGGCTCCAACCGCATCCCTTTGGCTAGCATAACTGATGTCCCTGGAAAGGCCTCACTTCTCCACTGTCTTGATGTTTTGCAGTGGCTCACCATGACCTGGAGAACACCATGAACTGCAGCTTCATCGAGCCCCCGTCTGTGGTGGAGCAGCCATCCCCATCATGGTCTTCCCGGGGCTCCTTCTCATCCTTTGACACCACAGATGAAGGTCCCGTCTACTGCGTGCCGCATGAAGGTCAGTGATGGCTCAATGGGATGTGAAATACTTTTTAGAATTGTTACAATACAGTGAAATGACAGTACAGTATGGCCCCCATATCGCAGGGAAAGACCTCCTCTAGATACCTTTAATCACTCTAAATCTGACTCGGACCAGACAGTCCTTCCAATGTCACTGTGGCCCAAGGGATGCGGTTGGATAGTAGAACGTCAAAAGTATATCATAGATGGGCAAGCTGCAGGAAGTGCTGGATGTTAGTTCCCATTATTCCTGAGGCTGATTGAAGTTTATGGGACTAGAAGTCCAGCTTTCCCACTTTGGTGTGATCTGGCAACACTTTGCTTGTGTTCAGTGAACTATTGCATCACAATTGACATGCAGCCTTCTGTAGGCAGAGCTGCTGAACCAGACCCTTTATTTACAAGTATGTACTGAGATGGCTGCTGAGAATGAACCTCCCAAAGATCCTTAACAAGCACACAAAGTTTCTTTGTCAAAATTCCATCTGGGCCACTGAGGATTAGAGTACTTAAAAGCAAGTCGGTTGGGACTGAAGCAAGTGTGCCCTTGCGGATGGCCCTGGACTCCAGCATCTTCCGTCTTGCAGCCCAACTGCGGCCATGCGGTCAATGGCCGTCCCAGCAGATGCGCGCCTTCGTTCTTTCTCTCTCTCCTTTCTCTAATTTTGGCAATCGGGAACAGAGCAAAGGAATTTGGCCCTGGCCCAGCTCTGCCGCAACCCCGCTGTAGCAAATCACAGGCCGTCACCAAATAGCCCTGTAATGACTCAAGAATTCTAAGGCCACACATGCATGCCTTGAAAAAAAACACAAAACCATAATTACAATAAAGCAAAACGCTTCCCACCCGGAAAAGTTTAACTCCTGTAATCCCAGTGTCTTCCTTTCCCAGGTGGGGGAAGAGAAACGAGCAAGGCACCTCTGCACTCGGCTCTTTCATTTACATTCGGCTTGCAGACCATAGCCAGGGTTTCTGAAATGTGGTCCTGCTGTTGAATTTTGTTTGTCTCACCCAGAGTTTCCCAAACTTTGTTTTCCAAGGGTTTGCCAGAAGTCTTTGCCAAATTGTCCAACTATCAGGAATTCTGGAGCTGAAGTCCAAAACACCAAAGTTTGGGAACGAGTGGTCTAGCCTATCAGCTAGCTATTTCTATTTATTTTTTCATCCTCTGCAGAAAGCGTGAATGACAGCAAAGACCGGGTTTCAGCCCCTTGCGGTGAGAAAACAGCCCCGGCTATCAGTGAGGACGAAGCTGGGGAGTACACTGTCTTGAAAGAGAGCAGCTCCATCCAGGCAGACAGCAGCGAGATGCCCCTGCTCAAGTCCTCTGACAGCGAGCGCTCCTCGTGCGGCTCCGGATCAGCCAGTGGGGCTCTGTATGCCCGGATTGCTCGCCTCTCTAAACAATCCCGGGAGGAGGATGAGAATGCCGTGGACAGTAAGGCTGCTAAGCCCCCATCACCAGAAAGGGCCAAACCCCCACCACCGGACCCCTCGACTAAGCCCAAAGTCTCCTGGATCCACAGCAAGTACAACTCTAACCAGTCCAATTCCCTGCCAGCCATCGGCCTGACGGATCTGTCAGAGCACAAACAGGGGCTGGCCAAGCGGAAGAGGAGCCCCAGTGAGGCCTCAGCCGGGTTGCATGGCAAATCGGATGATAAGGCGACCACCCGGGGCAAGGAGAAGGCCCCAAAGCACCCAAAGGAGCTCAGCTCTGAGGGAAAGAGCCAGTCGGCCTCCGGGGACCAGCCCCCACTGTCCAAACCAAAGCAGCGACATAAGAGTAGTCAGGACCAACTGGAGAACCTCAACGGCGCCGTCCAGAACGTCATCAAGAAGATGGGGAGTTACCTCCCAGCCGACAGGAAAGCAGGTGAAGCCCCCAAGAGCCCCGGTCATAGCAAGTCCCGCTCCGAAGTGATCCACCCACACTTGTCCTCAGAGGCAGCTACCTTGTTGGCCGCCCAGTTAAAGGAAAAGACTCAGAGCCTCAACCGAGGGGACGGTGGGAACCGGCAGAATGGGGTGAGCCCCTTGCCGGCTCAGCGGGAGAAGCCCACTCCTCCGCAGAAGGCAAAGCGCTCTGTGGCCACTGCCAGCCAGAAGTCCAGCAAGCCGGTCCTGCCAACCTCTCCCAACTTGCAGAAACTGATCAGCCCCATTGCCGAGGGAACCCCGACCAGCGACCCCAAGCGGGTGGAGAAGCAGAGCTCCAGCGGTGGTAGCCAAGACCCGGCCCCTGTGGCCAGCGACCAAGTGGTCAAGAGGACCCCCATCAAAAAGCCGCCCAGGAAGAAGAGCCGGGAGGCAGCCACTGAACAGCCAAAAGCTTCCGTGACCCCCCCTCAGACTGTGCAATGAAGTTCCCGAAAGCCTTGCAAAGAGGACTGGGGCTGCGGAAATGGGACCAGACTCTGGAGTGTACCTCCCATCCATGGGAGATTGGACCAAGAGACCCAATGCACTTCTGATTTCATTCCTCTTTCATTGGGGGGGGGGGGTTGTGGCCCAAGCGCTGGCGCCTGGGATTCCAAACTGGAGGGAACGGGATGGGCGAGAGGGGTGTTGGGGCCTTCTTTGTAGCAGTATTATAATTGCATACGCCGTGCTTCTCTCCCTAGCGACGACAGAGTCGATATAATCTGCAGGATAGAGTCACGGGCTTTCTGTCACGTTGTTGGGGCCAGGAACAAGGAGCAGGACCTCCAGGAGTCAAGGAAGCGGGGAATGTGACCTTGCTTTTGGAGGTCTGCAGCCCCCAGAGCCTAGAGGGGTCACTACCTGAGACCTTACGTTGGGACTCATCCCCAGCTGGACATCGTGACAGCAGAACTTTGCCCATTGCTGGAAATAGGGGGATTATCCTCCCTCAGTCTAGGCATGGCAGGGGGACCGCTTGGCATCGATGGCTTGGCAACCCTGAGCCTCAGGTGCCCCAGCTGCGACGAGGACAGTATGGTACGCAAGTCTAGCATCTCCATGGAAAGCTTCCTCAATTAAAACAAAATGTATTTCTATGCCTGTTGTGTGTGATTTCTGTGCCTGTCCTTCCACCATGCTGTTTGGGTCACTAGCCACTTTTCACAGCGACTGCTGGCTGCTGCTTTTAGTTGCCATTTTGAATTCCGAAGAAACGGGGGGCTGGGCTTCAGGGCGGTGACAAAATAGGCTTTTGTAGGTAAAACAGCACTATTAGGATGCAATTTCTTTTGTGTTGGCACCCGATTCTCTTCACATAACTATGCATCCTTAACTCCGTAGTAGAGGCATTGCTCAAACCTCCTAGTAACTATCGAGAAGTATAATTGGACACTGATAAAAGTTTTCCCGACATGCATTGGTCTCCATGCCATTTCCTGCAGACAAAACCCACTTTGGTCAACATAAGGATAAATTCCAGCTGATTTGAATCCTTGAATTTACTACTATGATCCCACGTTGCATACATCACCAGAACTGGGGTTGCCCAAGTACTTGCACTGAATGGCAACGCAACCATTTCTTCTACTTACACCCTGACTTTCCACAAGGGTTGGACGCAAGGTGACTTCCAGAACAAAGAAATACAGGTAAAACTACACACAGTATAACCTCTGTAACCACAAGACTGGTATCCATGGTTTTATGTCCAACAAGAGATACCCTCTCAGGGCATTTTCTAAGCCCTTTGGTGCAACTCTAATATTCTTGGGCCAGAGGTCCTTCATTTCAATCGGTCTCGCTATCGTCCCTTGCGGATATGAAGGCCATATTGTGTGCGGAAAACATATAGCGAAAAGTGAAGAGGAAGTTCAAGACGACTTTGGCTCGCATCCTGCTTTCTCGGCAGGGCTCCTTCCCCAGTTCTTCTCTCCTCCCCTTCCTTTGTTCTTGCGCTCCCTGTTTAGTCTGGGCCGGGAAGCACACATCCCGATGTCATCCGTCTTGGGCCAGATCTGGCTCTCATTAGGAGCCGCATGAGGCGCCCCAGCTGATGCTTGCGCTTCTGCAGCGCCACTGGAAAGGGACGGCGGATGGCTGGATTGCCACAGATTTGGGGATGGAGAGGGGGGCCCAGAAGGGAAAGGAAGTCCCGAGTGCATGAGCCAGGCCTTCTGCGGGGCCATGCTGCCGCCTGAAGGGAACAAAGGGCTGCCACATCTCAACCGCACTCTTTGTGTCCAAGGGTTCTCATGTCTCAGCAAACTACAAAACTCCAGGATGCTGTCATGGCCACTGAAGTGGAATTGTGGTGTGATACCCAAGTGGTGTTAATGCGGTAGCTGTAAGTCCTCCACAGAGGCAAGCTTCCCATTTATGGATGTGTCCGCTGGGGGCAGCAAAGGGACCGACCATTGCAGCCCCCCAGGAGAAGGCACTCCGGAGCTCATGGGGAACCTGCCATCTTCTGCACTAACAATAATATTATTTATTTATTCATTCATTTGTGATATTAATATACCGCTTTTCTCACCCCTGGGGGGACTCAAAGCAGTTTACAACATCATAATGGCAAAATTCAATGTCAAACATACATGGAGGTACTACATCACACTAGAGAAAAAAACCACTTTAAATCCGGTTTCTGCCTCCTGCAGAATTTGTAGTTAAGTGAGGCTGTTAAAGGCTCCTCCCTAAACTACAAACCCCAGAATTCTGCAGGAGATAGAAACCAGATTTTAAAGTGGGTTTTTTTCTCTAGTGTGATGAAGCCTATAATATCTAAACAATAAACATATAAACTATACGTTAACATCATTAAGACCATTAAACAGAAGACATAAGCAACTTTTAGATATTAAGACATAGAGTTAAAATACCTAATATAAACATTAAAATCACATGATCCAGAATTGTAAACCAAGCCCATTTCAATTGTCAATTGCACATATTTCCTATTTATTAATGATAATAGGCATATTTGCTGCTCCGAGCAAGAACACTATATTGATGATGATGATGATGATGATGATGATGATGATGATGACGATGATGATGATTATTATGTAAATTAGCTGCTCCAATTGAGACCATTATTATTAGGCAAATGTGCTGCTTCAAGCGAGAACACTAAATTATTATTATTTTACTGCCACAAAAACACAGTAAGTCACAGCAAACGAGATCTATATGCTGGATTCCGTATCGCAAAATCACAAGTCAAACACTTCCCAAGCGTCTAGGACTGTGTGATGTATTTTCGAATGATGCGCGCAGATCCAAGTAAGTTGGCCTTTTGCAGTTGACAGATCGTGATTTTTTAAATTATTATTATTACTATTATTATTATCTAAATTTGCTGCTCTAATTGAGACTATTATTACTATTATTATTATCATTAGGCAAATGTGCTGCTCCAAGTGAGAACACATTATTATTATTATTATTATTATTATTATTATTATTATTATTATTATTATTATTATTATGTAAATTTGCTGCTCCAATTGAGACTATTATTATTATTAGACAAATGTGCTGCTCCAAGTGAGATTGCTGTTGTTGCTGCTGTTGTTGTTGACGTGCAAACTGTTCCAACTAAGCACACTCTGCCCATGCTCAGAGACCCTCGCGCCGCCCTGGAGGAGGCCTCAGTGCCGGCCCGCCTTCTCTGCTGTCTCTCCTCTCTGGAGCCGCCGCAGCGCCGCCGTCCGGACTCTGCTGGCCCAGCGCGAGGCCTAGGCCCAAAGCCGGGGCCTCGCGTGACCCCCCTCCCCAACATGGAGCGCTTTGGGCCGCCTTTCATCTACGACGACGCCGGGGATGCGGCCGGGGGAGTAGGCCTCGCGGGCTACGGAAGCGGAGGAGGAGGCGGCGGAAGCGACCGGACAGCCCGACAACAAGCCCGGCATTATCAGCTCCTCTCCGAGCTGCAGACCCTGGTCAAGGCTCTGCCCAGGTGAGAAAGAGGAGTAGGCCTCAAAGCCTCGGTATTTCCTAAATGGGGTTGCCGGCTTTCGAGCTCCATCGAGCAGAGAAGTCTCCCACCTCGGAACCACAGCATAATTATAATTCAGGCATGTTATGTATTCATTTTTCTACCCCACAATATCTAAAACTTTAATATCTTATAATTATCGCATTTCTCTTTATTCATTTATTTGTATTTCCCCCAAAATATCTACAGCCTTGACATCTTTTAATTCTAGCATTTCTATTTGTTCATTTATGTGTAGTCCCTTCCCCTCCAAAAATGTCAACATTTTTATTAGCTTATAATTCTGGAATGTTATTTATTTGTAATTTCTCCCAGAAAATATCTATGCTTTTAATAGCTTATAATTACTGGGTTGTTGTAAGTTTTTCGGGCTGTATGGCCATGTTCCAGAAGCATTCTCTCCTGACGTTTCACCCACATCTATGGCAGGCATCGTCAGAGGTTGTGACGGCTGTTGGAAACTAGGCCAGTGGGGTTTATATATAAACCTGTGGAATAATGTCCAGGGTGAGAGAAAGAACTGTGTCTGTCTGAGGCAAGTTTGAATGTTGCAATTGGCCACCTTGATTAGCACTTAATGGTCTTGCAGCTTCAAAGCCTAACTGCTTCCTGCCTGGAAGCATCCTTTGTTGGGATGCGTTAACTGGCCCTGATTGATTCCTGTCTGGAATTCCCCTGTGGTTTTTTTAGTGTTGCTCTTTATCTACTGTCCTGATTTTGGTGTTTCATAATACTGGAAGCCAGATTTTGTTCATGTTCATGGGCCAGCACCTCCGAACAAAGGTTTCCCCCAGGCAAGAAGCAGACAGTCTTTGAAGCTGCAAGACAATTCAATTCTAATCAAGGTGGCCAATTGCAACATTCACAGTTGCCTCAGGCAGACAAGAGTTCTTTCTCCCACCCTGGACATTCCACAGATATATAAACCTCACTTGCCTAGTGTCCAGCTGTTCCCTCAACCTCTGAGGATGCCTACCATAGATGTGGGTGATATGTCAGGGGAGAATGCTTCTGGAACATAGCCATAAACTCACAGCAACCCATTTGGTTAGTTATTTGTAATTATTCCCAAAATACATACTTCATAGTTTATAATTCTGGAATATTTAGTTATTTATTTGTAATTTCCCCCAGAAAATATCTATGCCTTTAATAGCTTATAACAGACAAGCATCCCGAGCTCTGAGGATTACCTGGGAAGGAATCCCACTGGAGCATTGCAGCACACCCAAATACCTGGGAGTCACTCTGGACTGTGCTCTGACCTACAAGAAGCACTGCCTGAATATCAAGCAAAGAGTGGGTGCTAGAAACAATATCATACGAAAGCTGACTGGCACAACCTGGGGATCACAACCAGATACAGTGAAGACATCTGCCCTTGCGCTGTGCTACTCTGCTGCTGAGTATGCATGCCCAGTGTGGAACACATCTCACCATGCTAAAACAGTGGATGTGGCTCTTAATGAGACATGCCGCATTATCACGGGGTGTCTGCGCCCTACACCACTGGAGAAATTACACTGTTTAGCCGGTATTGCACCACCTGACATCCGCCGGGAAGTAGCAACCAATAGTGAAAGGACCAAGGCAGAGACATCTCCAGCTCATCCCTTGTTTGGTATCAGCCAGCATGTCAACGACTTAAATCAAGAAATAGTTTTCTAAGATCTACAGAGACACTCGCTGGAACACCTCAGCAAGCGAGAGTCCAAAAGTGGCAGGCTCAAACCCAGAACCTCAATCAATGGCTGATACCAAATGAGAGACTCCCCCCTGGGCACACAGAAAACTGGGCGACTTGGAAGGCGCTGAACAGACTGCGCTCTGGCACCACGAGATGCAGAGCTAATCTTAAGAAATGGGGCTACAAAGTGGAATCCACGACATGCGAGTGTGGAGAAGAGCAGACTACAGACCACCTGCTGCGATGCAACCTGAGCCCTGCTACATGCACAATGGAGGACCTTCTTGCACTCCAAGTGGCCAGATACTGGTCAAAGGATATTTAATTAATTACCAAGCTTGCAAACTTTGTGTTTTGTCTGTCTGTTTGTTTGTTTTGTTAAAAATGTAATACAAATGTCTGGTTGCTCCTGACACGATTAAATAAATAAATAAATAAATAGCTTATAATTCTGGAATATTTAGTTATTTATTTGTAATTTTCCCCCAGAAAATTTCTATACCTTTAATAGCTTATAATTCTAGAATATTTAGTTATTTATTTGTAATTTTCCCCCACCCCTAAACATCTATGCCCTTAATAGATTCTCATTCCGAAATATTTAATAAATTATCCTTAATAGATTCTCATTCTGGAATATTGAGTTATTTTATTTCTAATTTCCCTCCCAAATATGTATGTCCTTATAATGCTGGTGTTTTGGAAGTCACCTTTCTAAACAGCTGCCCTTTGGAAGGATTCGGGGAAAAAATCCAAATCCATAGTGGCTTTGAGTCTCCTTTGGGATTGATAAAGCAGGGTATAAATAAACATAATAATAATAATTTTAAGTTGTCTCCCTCCATTGATTTGCCTTTGAGTGATTCCTGGGGCTGAAGAAGGCAGTCTTTTTTTCGTAAATGGCTTGCCTCTTTGGCGTCTTTTTGTGATTCCTCCCTCTTTCTACCTCCCTCCCTCCCTTCTGTTCCTTCTCCAGCTCCTGCCAGCAGCGGCTGTCCTACACTATCCTCAGCGACCTGGCCTTGGCACTCATCGACGGGACGGTCTTTGAAATCGTGCAAGGTTTGCTGGAGATCCAGCACTTGACGGAGCGCAACCTCTACAACCAGCGGCTCACGCTGCACAGCGAGCACCGAGGCAAGCCGTGGTTGGGGCACCAGCAGCTCAAAAAGCCAATACCATCCTCAACTGTGTCAATAGGAGTCTAGTGTTGAGATCGGAGATTTCCAAACTTTTAATATTGATGACACGCACCTGCCTCCTTTGGCGACATGGTATTTCTGCCTGAACCGATGTCTGGAGGCAGTAATGGCCTGGATGAGGGTAAACAAATTGAAACTGAATCCAGATAAGACAGAAGTAGTACTAGTCTCCTGTAGGATGGATCTGGGAATAGGGGGAAAACCAGAGCTAGATGGGGTTACACTCCCCCTGAAAGCGCAGGTTCACACTTTGGGGGTGATTCTGGATTCCTCTCTAAACCTGGAAGCCCAGGTTGTGGAGATTGCCTTGGTTACATCCCGCCTGGACTACTTTAATGCGCTCTACGTGTGTCTGCCTTTGAAAACGGCTCAGAAACTTCAGTTTGTCCAAAAATCGGCAGCTAAGCTGTTAAAGGGAGTGGATATAAGGGAACATACTACCCCGCTCCTGAAACAGATGCACTAGCTTCCAATTAGTTTCCGAGCCCGATTCAAAGTGCTGGTTTTGACCTTTAAAGCCCTTCACGGCATCTGTCCAGATTACCTGAGATATCGGGTTCCTGTATATACACTGGGGAGAGCACAGAGGTCCAGTGGGGAATTGCTGGTATCCTGTAGCATTCGAGACACTTTCCACCTAAAGTCTGCTAGAGAGGGGTTCTTCTGGGGAGTGACCCCCTCTCTTTGGAATGCCCTCCCAGGAAAGATTAGATCTAAACCCTCTCTGTTGGTATTCAGGAAGAGCCTAAAAACCTTCCTTTTCAAGGAAGTAATCGGGGGAAACTAGTGATAATTATATCCAAAGGTTAAGAAGGCCATTCGACTCCATTAGGTTTTATCAGGGTGGTTTTATCTTATCTTGTTGGGATTTTAACAGCACCTGATAATATTTATGGTTTTAACTTGTTCTTAATTTTATATTGTATGTTTTTATTTACTGTTAACCACCTTGGCCCCTTGATTGGGAGAAAGGCGAGATACACATTTCATAAATAAATAAATAAATAAATAAATAATTTCGGTTGTACTGGCAAGCTGGAGGTTGAAACCCTTTCAAGAGTTTCATTATATATATATATATATATATATATATATATATATATATATATCATAACATCTATTGACTCAAGTCTAATGTGCCATCAAATCTAATACACACCTCCATTTTCAAAACCGTGAAACCAAAAAAAAGGGGTTGCTGGCAAATGTAATGCGCAGCAACAGAACGTTCCTTCTGAATAATTTGGCCGAAAAAAGGTGCGCATTCCTGTTGCTGCCTGCTTAGGATTCCTTCTTTCAAAAGTGAGCACCAAAGCTTTCTGCCACGAAAAAGAAAACCTTGGGGTGCATTTATGCTACAGAATGAATCAATTTTAACTGCTTTGGTTTCAATGCTATGGAGTCGTGGGGATGTAGTTTGACAAGATCCTGTGCCTTCTCTGCCAAAGGATGCGGATGCCTCACGAGACTACAGATCCTAGCATTGCATAGTACTGAGCCATGGCAATTACATAAGAGATGAGGTCCCTCAAAGAGGAGCTGCAGACGCTCCTGAAGTAGCTTCTCCTTTTTTTCCTTTGGCTCATCAGTAAGATGACAGTATTACATGAATCTAATGTGCACCCTAATTATGAGAAGGTCATTTAGCTCAAAAAAAGGTGAGCACTAGATCTGAGTAAATACAATATATATTGTATAATTATATATCATATATTTACGTCTCATATACTGTAATCTTTACTGTATAAACAAAGTTTTAAAATGTTTCCTTTCCACTTAATACACTACAGTTGATTCCTCTGTAGTTTCCTCTATCGCCACTCCATGGGGTTCATCACAAACATTGTTGTCACCAGATTTTCTTGTCCTGATTAGAAACTTATACATTTCAGTGGTCATTACTGCAGCTCAATCAACAAACTCTGTCAATTATCAAAGTTATAGCAGTACCTACACTTGAACAGCACCAGCACTCCACTTCTGTAGGAATTGAACCCCTCTGAAGGTTTTTTAATGGAGGCTGGATGGCCATCTGTTGGGAGGGCTTTGACTATGCCTTCCTTAATGGCAGGAAGGTGTTGGACTAGATGCCCTTTGAGAGTGTCTTCCAAGACTGGTGAAGTATAAACTACCTAGGGGTCCAGTGGAGTCTCCTCCTCTGGATGTTTTTGAACTGAGGCTGAACGACCATTTGTCAGAAGGGCTTTGACTGTGTCTTCCAGCCAGGTAGCCTCTGTTTATAGGAATGGGAAAGGGGGGAAGAAGTATTTTTCATGCGACACCCCTGTGCAACACACAGTTTGGAAAGCTCTGGTCTCTATTGGGAGAAGGTGTAGTCCCTCTCTTTTCTGCTTTTCTCAGACCTCCCCCATCTCCTCCTTTGGAGATTTTGGAACAGAGGCTGATGGCCATCTGCCGGGAGAGCTTTCATTGTGCCTTCCTGCATAGCAGAGGGTTGGGCTAGATGACCTTTGGGGGACTCTTCCAACTCTAGGACTCTTATAGAGTGACAAGGGAGCCATGCTGGGGGTTCCAAAGTGTGGGCGCAGCCATGTCAAGGCCCTGTAGTGTCCAGGAAGCTGCTGGTGTTGACTATTTTAAGTGCTGGACAATCGGGAAGGAATAGAAAGGCATCGTTCCCGTAGCAGACCATTTGCAGGAGTCCCTTGCTGCTGGCCATTGCTTCTCATTGTCTGGAACAAAGGTCCCACCTGGGGCCAAACAGACCACACATCTTTGTGGCTCGGGAATAAATGGCGCTCTCTTGGGTTTTGTCTCCTGACAGCCCTGAAGCAAGAGATGCTGCACAAGCACAAGGATGCCCAGCAGTGCTGCAAGCCTCACAACCTGCCCCTGCTCAAAGCTGCACAGCAGAGGGAGCTTCAGGTCAGAGTCGCCTTTGGGGCAGAGACGGTCATCTGTCGGGAGGACTTTGATTGTGTCTCCCTGCCTGGCAGGTTTGGGGTTGGACTAGATGGCATTTGAGGGGATCCCTTCCAGCTCGAGGATCCTATGCAAGGTGAATGGGGTTCCCTCCATCCCTTTTGGGTCTGAAAGTTCTGTGCTCTCAGCTGGGTCTTTCTCCTCTACTCAGGCCATGGAGCAGCGCATCCACAATGAGCAGCTGATGATGGACAAGAAGATTGTCTTGGAGCTGGACCAGAAAGTCGTGGACCAGCAGAGCACCTTGGAGAAGGCGGGTGTCTCCGGGTTTTACATCACCACCAACCCACAGGTCAGTGCCCACCACAGCCGAGCAACTCCACTGAGTCCAACGGGGCCTTTCTGGGTATTTTTTTATGGGCAAGAATGGTACCCGACCTTGGATTTGAAAGCAGGGTGGGGAAAATGCAGCTGCCAACCTGACTTTTGTATATTTTATTGAAATTATTTAAACCATCAAAACAGTGAAAGAGTGAGAACAATACCATTATAGGAAAGAAGAGAAAGAAGAAAAGGAAAAAGAGAAGAGGAGAGGAGAGAGATAAAAATAAAAATTGACTTCCATTCCATCTTCTTGGTTAATGTCCTTTCTTTTAGTCAAAACCTTTTTAAATTAAAATGTTTATTTTAGTTACCGATTCTTCAGATTTTCCAGATAGTTGTGAAAGAGATCTGAATTTTTAATATATTTCCCATATTCTTCTTCAATAAAAATGTCAATTCGTCCATGTCTTTTATTTCTCTCATTTTGTCCAAACACAGTTCTGTGGATGGATTTTGTTCTTGTTTCCATTCCTTTGCGAAAACAATTCTGGCGGCTGTCGTGATAAATGTAAAAAGTTTGTCTTCCTCCTCACTTAATTATAATCCTAAATCCGTAAAACCTAAGAGGTAATATTCTGGTTTTTTGGAGAAGTCTCTTTTTAAAAATATTTTGCGTCTCTTCATGAATTTTTGTCCAATATTTGGATGCTATTTTACAAGTCCACCACATATGATAAAAAGATCCACCTTGCTCATGACATTTCCAGCACATGTCTGATACATTTTTATACATATGGGCCAATTGTTTAGGTGTGGTATACCACCTGTGGAACATTTTTAACCAACTTTCTTTTAGATCCATTGCATAAGTATACTTCAGTTTTTTGCTCTACATTTGTTCCCATTCTCTTATTTGAGTTGGTCTTCTTAAATTTTGAGCCCATTTGATCATACAGGATTTAATCTGTTCTTTTTCAGTTAGCCAGATCAATAATATATTATAGATATTTGATATTAATTTCTTCTCCAATTTTAATATCTTCTCCCATCTTGATTCCTCCCAATTAAATCCCATTTTTTTATCTTGGTTATAATAGTCTCTAATCTGTAAATAATGCAACCATGTAATGTTAAGAAATTTCTTTTTTAAATCTTCGTGGGCTTTCATATTATTTGAATTTTTAATTAATATATCTCTATAAGTTGGCCATTTTCGCCATCCCAGAAGTTTTCTCTGATGGGCCTTCATCAGGGAGACCCACTATGGGTCTCCACTATGGGTGGATCTTGTTTTGACAAAGAAAGGTGTGGAAACAACCTCCAAATGTGCCAAACCAGCCCTTTTCACTAGCCATTCCTTGCCACGCATTGCTGTGACCCAGTCTGGTGATCTGGAAAATAAAGTAATGAGAAAGTGTTGGTTTCTAATATATGTAATTTCTTAATGCTTGTGGGTAAACAGCATTTCTTGTTGTTTGTTTGTCAGTGTTGATGTAAAGATTGTCTGGTTTGCCCACTCTGGAACATATTTATTTATTTATTTATTTATTTATTTATCGTGTCAGGAGCAAGCCAAACAGTAGTATTGCATTTTTAACAAACAAACAAACAAACAAAACACAAAGTTTGCAAGCTTGGTAGTTGATTAAATGTCCTTTGACCAGTAGCTGGCCACTTGGGAGTGCCTCTGGTGTTACTATAAGAATGTCTTCCATTGTGCATGTAGCAGGGCTCAGGTTTCATTGCAGCAGGTGGTCTGTAGTTTGTTCTTCTCCACACTTGCTCAAGCAGGGAGTGTGGATTCCACTTTGTAGCCCCATTTCTTAAGGTTGGCTCTGCATCTCGTGGTACCAGAGCACAGTCTGTTCAGTACCTTCCAAGTCGTGCAGTTTTCTGTGTGCCCAGGGGGGAGTCTCTCATTTGGTATCAGCCATTGATTGAGGTTCTGGGTTTGAGCCTGCCACTTTTGGACTCTTGCTTGCTGAGATGTTCCAGTGAGTGTCTCTGTAGATCTTAGAAAACTATTTCTAGATTTAAGTCATTGACGTGCTGGCTGATACCCAAACAAGGGATGAGCTGGAGATGTCACTGCCTTGGTCCTTTCACTGCTACTTCCCGGCGGATGTCAGGTGGTGCAATACCGGCTAAACAGTGTAATTTCTCCAGTGGTGTAGGGCGCAGACACCCTGTGATAATGTGGCATGTCTCATTAAGAGCCACATCCACTGTTTTAGCGTGGTGAGATGTGTTCCACACTGGGCATGCGTACTCAGCAGCAGAGTAGCATAGCGCAAGGGCAGATGTCTTCACCGTGTCTGGTTGTGATCCCCAGGTTGTGCCAGTCATCTTTCATATGATATTGTTTCTAGCGCCCACTTTTTGCTTGATATTCAGGCAGTGCTTCTTGTAGGTCAAGCACGGTCCAGAGTGACTCCCAGGTATTTGGGTGTGCTGCAATGCTCCAGTGGGATTCCTTCCCAGGTAGTCCTCAGAGCTCGGAATGCTTGTCTGTTCTTAAGATGAAAAGCACATGTATGTGTTTTAGATGGATTAGGGATCTGCTGGTTTTCCCTGTAATAGGCAGTAAGAGCACCTAGAGCTTCTGTTCAACCATCTCAAAGCTCCCTGCTTGAGCGGTAATGGTACGATCATCAGCATAAATGAAACTCTCTGTCCCTTCTGGCAGTGGCTGGTCATTTGTGTAAATGCTGAACATTAATGAAGCAAACACACTCCTCTGAGGCACGCTCCTCTGGAACATGCAACATATAATTGTCCTTCTTTAGGGGCCCCTTTCAAATCTATTATACTATGTCTGTCATATACATATATATGTGTGTGCGTGAATCATATACTGTATATCTATTTATAGCTGGATGGCTCTTTGTCAGGAGGGCATTGATTATGTTTTCTTGCTCTGGTGAAGGGAGTTGGACTGGATGACCTTAAGGCAGCATTTCTCAACCTGGGGGTCGGGACCCCTGGGGTGGTCACGAGGGGGTGTCAGAGGGGTCGCCTAAGACCACCAGAAAACAAAGTATTTTCTGTTGGTCATGGGGGTTCTGTGTGAGAAGTTTGGCCCAATTCTATTGTTGGTGGGGTTCAAAATGCTCTTTGATTGTAGGTGAACTATAAATCTCAGTAACTACAACTCCTAAGTGTCAAGGTCTATTTCCCCCAAACTCCATCTGTGTTCATATTTGGGCATATGGAGTATTCGTGCCAAGTTTGGTCTAGATCCTTCATTGATTGAGTCCACATATGTCTCTGGATATAGGTGAACAACAACTCCAAAACTCAAGGTCCATGCCTACCAAATCCTTCTAGTGTTTTCTGTTGGTCACGGAAGTCCTGTATGCCAAGTTTGGTTCAATTCCGTCGTTGGTGGGGTTCAGAATGCTCTTAGATTGTTGGTGAACTATAAATCCCAGCAACCTCAACTCCCAAATGACAAAATCAATTTTTTGATTGATGGTCAGTCCTTGGATTAGTAGGTATCTTGTGGCCAAATTTGGTGGCAATTCATCCAGCAGATTTTGAGTAATGATGTCACTCAAAAAATACAGAGCATTTATATATGGGTAGATAGACTAGAATCCCAAAGTTGGAAGAGACTCCAGAGAAGGAGATTCCATCAGCAGCAGCATCATTAACTAAGATGATGATGATGATTATTATTATTACTATTATTATTACTATCATGATGATAATGATGATGATGATGAAATAATAGATTTGGAAGAGATCACCAAAGGCCATCTAGACTATTCCTTTTCCATCATACAGGAAGACACAATCAAAGCCCCCCTGACAGATGGCTCTCCAGCCTCTGCTTAAAAACCTCCAGAGAAGACGACTCCGGAATCATCTTGACTATTACTAGGCAACAAAAATTGAAAAAAATAATCAGTTCCCAGTTTGAAAGTGTTATTTCCTGTTTAATTGTGCAGTATTTACTGTGAAAGTAGTTTTTCTACTCCAGAAACTTTGTTTCTGTGGCTGTCACAAACCAGGTTGAATTGTTTGAGACTCAATGATGAGATACTCATGGCTGCAGGATGTCCCTCCCACAGAAACAAAGTTTTTGCAGTTTAATCAATTTTCCCCATGATTTTATGAGAGAACTAATTAGGAAATGGCATTTATAACCCAGGAACAAACATGTTACATAATGTCATCAAAGGTGATGATGATTGACTCTGAAAGTTGGAAGATACCCCCAGGGGCAATCTAGTCCAACCCCCTTCTGCCAGGCAGGAAGAAACAATCAAAGCTCTCCCAACAGATGGTCATCTAGCCTCTGCAGACAAGCCTCCAGAGAAGGATACTCCAGTCCTGTTGAAAATTGCAACAAGAAATGACTCAACATCACTTCCAATTGCCCTTTGGGAAGGATCTGGGAGCAGTGTCAGTCCCCATGTTGTTTCCTCCAATAGAGCCATAGAAAATTAGATGAACCATCTCCTGGCTGTTACTTTAGTGATAGAATCATAGAATCCTAGAGTTGGAAGAGACCTCATGGACCATCCAGTCCAACCCCCTGCCAAGAAGCAGGAAAATCACATTCAAAGCACACACACACACACCCAAAAGATGGCCATCCAACCTCTGTGTAAAAGCCTCCACCACACTCTAGGGCAGAGAGTTTCACTGCTGAACAGCTCTCACAGTTATGAAGTTCTTCCTAATGTTCAGGCAGAATCTCCTTTCTTTCCTGTAGCTTGAAGCCATTGTTCCATCATGTCCTAGTCTCCAGGGCAGCAGAAAACAAGCTTACTCCCTCCTCCCTACAATTTCCCCTCACATCTTGATAAACGGCCCTCATCATGTCGCCTCTCAGCCTTCTCTGCTACAGGCCAAACATGCCCAGCTCTTTAAGCCGCTCCTCATAGGGCTTGTTCTCCAGACCCTTGATCGTTTTATTTGCCCTCCTCTGGATACATTCCAGCTTGTCAATGACTTCCTTCTGTTTGTTGACTGTTCCCAAAATGATGATAACCTAGGTTTCTGGACTTTTCCCTTCACTTACCTTGTGAGCGATAGACATGTCTCGGAGCATCCCAAACCCAATACACTCAGATCCCTCCCAATACGTCCCTAGGCTTCCTGCCTCGGTCCTCATTCATACATTTATGAGCTGCTTTGCTACAAATATGGCTCTGAGTGGCACAAACAGTGTGCCGCAGAATTATCAGGTCATTGTGGGCCTTCATGCAAAGTGTGGGGCTTTCTGGGGCTCTGGGTTTGAACCGAATGGGCCTCGCCGGGCTATGCATCCCAGGACCCCCACAGCAAGGAGCCTTGTAGAGGTCCCAAACCGGTCTAAATAGAGCTGTGCAGGCGTCGTGTATGAAACAAGGATCAGGATCGAATGTGTGTCTTTTGCTCCTTCGGGCGTTTTGACATTTGAGGCAAGTGGGCGGCGGAAGGCAATACATTCTGTTCCAGAGGGATGATCTTCTTTGAATTGTTTTCCTTTGGCAGGAACTGACGCTCCAGATGAATATGCTGGAGCTCATTCGGAAGCTGCAGCAGAAGGAGGCACAGCCAAGGAAGCCTTTCTCTTGAGGAGGCCCTGTCACCTTGCAAGAGAGAGAGGTTTCTTTTTGTATTTCGAAGGAAATGGGAATGAGAGAGAAGGCTTGCAGAGACAAGAGACGCTTTTAGCCACCTGCGATTCCCACCCAAAGCCTCAGAACTCGAGATTGATTTCTCCGATTTGTCCCAATTTGGTCCGAGCTTGAATCTGGGAGTTGTCATCCCAACGTCATTCTTCCAAGCTCAAGGTTTTTTTCAAGGCGTTTGTTTTTGAAATGGGGCAAAAACATGCAATAAAATGGACCGGATGGCCTCCATTCAGGAAAAATATTAAAAGGCTCCGTAGAGTTTTTCTGCTGAAACGTTATGAAACGGAAACTTTATGAAACTTGACATGAATGGCGTGCAACCCCAGCTTTGACTACTATGGTGTCCTGGGAGTTGTAGTTTTACAAGGTCTTTTGCCTTCTCTGCCAAAGAATGCCGAAGTTTAATCCTCAGGGTCCCATAGCAGTTCAAATGGGACAAACGACATTAGTTTTAGTGTGAATGCCCTTTGGACTCCAGCTCCTATAGAACAGTGAAGGTTTCTCAGCACACAGTATTTTCTGTTGGTCATAGGAGTTCTGTGTGGAAAGTTTGGCCCAATTCCATTGTTGGTGGGGCTCAGACTGTTCTTTGATTGTACATGAACTATAAAACCCAGCATCTACAACTCCCAAATGTCAAGGTATATTTTCCCCAAACTCCGCTAGTGTTCACATTTGAGCAAATTGAGGATTTGTGCCAAGTTTGGTCCTGATCCATCATTGTTTGAGTTCACAGAGCTCTCTGGATGTAGTTGAACTACAACTTCAAAACTCAAGGTGAATGCCCACCAAACCCTTCCAGTATTTTCTGTTGGTCATGCGAGTTCTGTGTGCCAACTTTGGTTCAATTCCATCGTTAGTGGAGTTCAGAATGCTCTTTGATTGTCGGTGAACTATAAATCCCAGCAAGTACACCTCCCAAATGACAAAGTCAATCCCCTCCCCAACCCCACCAGTATTCAAATTTGAGCATATCAGGTATTGGTGCCAAGTTTGGTCCAGTGAATGAAAATACATCCTGCCTATCAGATATTTACATGATGGTTCATAACAGTACCAAAATTACAGTTATGAAGTAGCAACAAAACTAATGTTATGGTTGGGGGTCACCACAACATGAGGAACTGTATTAAGGGGTTGTGACATCAGGAAGGTTGAGAATCACTGTCATATTGTATTAGTCGCACACACAGACACATATCCAGGTTCTGTATCATCTGCCAACTGGATTGGCATCCCCGCCACTCTGTCACTGGAGTCACTGATGAGAAATCTTGGAAAGCGTTGGCACCAGGAACCCGGCCGCTGATGCCCACTCTGGGGGCACCTCCCCTCCAAAGCTGCCTGAAAGGAAAATCCCCCATTCTTCAATGCACCAGGCATCTTGGCGATTGAGAAGATCTGCTTCTGAGACAGGAAGTATCCGGTCTGAACAAGGAAGAGTGCCCTCTGGTCTTTCCCTGGCATTTGGCTTGGCACACAGCGGAAGCTGCAGGAGGGTTGGGTTTCACCTGCTGGACTTGAAAGGCAGACAATAGGAACTCAGAGGGAACGAGGAGGAGCTCTTTGGCTGTTGTTGCAACTCCCAGCTGGCTGGGGATTCTGGGAGTTGTAGTCCAAAAGGGGCACCAACCTGGGAGTCTGGTCTGTCTTTTGCAGGGGGGGAGGAGGTCCCAGGTTCAATGGGTTTATTTAGAAGGGCTGGGGGATTCTGGGCATCCAAAGGGGAGAAATCCACACCTCTGCCTTTTGCAGGAGGGAGGGTCTGACTTGAGGATTCTGGGAGTTGCAGTCCCTACAGGGAACTCCCAAGGAAAAAGATGGTGGCAATGATCATAATACCTTCACCATCATCATCATAAGGTGGATTCTGGGAATTGTAGTCCACACTAAGCACTGACAGCCCTTTGAGTGCCCTTTGCAGGGAGGGGAAAGAGGAGACAGGGCTCCTTCCTTTGGACCTTCTTAAGGTGGAAGGTAGATTCTGGGAATTGTAGTCCACCCTAATTATTGACAGCTGGCAGCTCTTTGCAGGGAGTGGAAAGAGGAGGCAGGGTTCCTTTCTAATTAATGGGAAGGGGAATGTGGATTCTGGGAATTGTAGTCCACAGTAAGCACTGACAGCCCTTTGAGTGCCCTTTGCAGGGAGTGGAAAGAGGAGACAGGATTCCCTCCTTTGGACCTTCTTAAGGAGGAAAGTGGATTCTGGGAATTGTAGTCCACACTAAGCACTGACAGCCCTTTGAGTGCAGGGAGGGGAAAGAGAAGGCAGGTTTCCCTCCTGTGGACTTTTTAAAGGGGGAAGGTGGATTCTGGGAATTGTAGTCCACACTAATCACTGACAGCTGGCAGCTCTTTGCAGGGAGGGGAAAGCGGAGGCAGGATTCCTTCCTATTTAAAGGGAGGGGAAAGGTGGACTCTGGCAATTGTAGTCCACCTAAAGCTGAAGCTTTAGAAAGACTGGGAATGAAGAGAGGGGGTCCGCCTCTTCTTTGTGTGTGTTGATGGAGGGTAGTGAGTGAGTTCTGAGAGTTGTAGTCCAAACCAGGCTGGGTGGGCCCTGGGAGTTGTAGTCCCAAGCCGGGCTCTGCAGGGGGGCAAGAGGGGCCACGCCATAGGCCGCTTTCGATGGGGATGATGGGCACTGTAGAGGATGGGGATGGAAGGGAAGGGAAGGTAGGCAAAGAGGGAGTGGGAGGAGAAGCACCATCTAGCGGGAGTGCGCGTGCGCGTGCCTGTGTGCGTGCGGGGGGGGGGGGGGGGGGGGGGGCGGATTAAGAGAGTGCCCTCCTCCCTTTTCTCCCTCCCTCCCTCCCTCCTTTCTTTCTTTCCTTCCTTGATGACGCAGCGCTGCTGCCAGCCGAGCCCCAGCCCAGTGGAGCCTGGCCCCCAGACAGGTGGCTCTACCTGCCAGGCCAGGTGCCTTGGGGCCTCGCCCTATCAGGGGCCAGGCAAGAAGCCTCAAGACCCCCCTCTTCCCTTCCTTCCCTTCCTTCCCTCCTGCCATCCCTTTCTCTCTCTCTCTTTCTGTGCCCAGCCCCTGGCATCCAAGAGAGTGAAGCCAGCAGGTGCCAAGGCTTGGCCCATCCCTAAACCCAAGGCATTCAAAGCCTGGTCCAGCCAGCAGGAAGGTCTGCGGGTGAGTCAATGGGGGCTTGGGTTGGCATGGGCCACACAGGTAGTGCCACACAGATGGGCTGATTTGCCCCTCTCCTTTTCTCCCCCCGAGGGGAACGGGCACATGGGCAGCAGGGTACATTGTGTTTGGTTTCTCTCCAAGGATTGATGCCAGCCCTTAATCCAGGATGCCCGGGTGCCGGGCACCCATCTCAAAAGCGGGCTCTCAAAATAAATCTGTGGGAGTGGATGGGGGGGCTCCGAAGGCGAGTGTTCGCTGAACATGTGCAGAGTTCCCCAGCTCTGTTTGGGGAAGGGTATTTTTTATTATTATTTTCAGCGGAGGGGGAAGAATCTCCTTTTAAGAGAGGAGAGTGGGACAGAAATCATAATCATGATAACAACAACAATAATACAATTAATAATAATAATAATAATAATAATAATAATAATAGCTTTATATCCCATGGTTGACAACAAAAAAGTGGCAAATGCTCAATGCCAAAAAAACGCATCAAAACAAATCAAATCATAAACAATAAGAAGACAGCATCAAAGTCAAACTTTCAAACAACCCAAAAATAAGAAGTAGAATTTAAATATCTAAATATGGCATTTAAAACACACTCAACTAATAAATCTAATAATAATAAATATTAAGACTTTAAATGTTGCTAGCCAACAGGGCTGAGGTATATTTTTGTTAACCAAATCGGGATATAGTTGTTGTTGTTGTTATTCGGGATGAGGGCCTTCTGGGCGAGGGAGTTACCCTGCTGTGGGGGCGATGGGCTCATGTCTGCCATGTTACTATGCCTCTTCCCTTTTATTTCAAGGGCCAGGGCAAAGGGCATCTGGAGAGATGCTCCGGTTGAGAAGTTGGCACTGCCTTGGAAAGAGCTCTCCAAGGTGCTGAACCGCTTTGGCAGCAGGAAACTGTCACCTTGGAGAATTCCTTCACGTTCCAACTGCACTCCAGAGCAGTTTTGCCACTTTGTCTACGCTGTGGAACGGATTTTGTTTGACACCACTTTAGCTGCCGTGGGAGTTGTAGTTCCACAACGTCTCCCTCCCATGTGCATACATCTCCTCCGCCCCAAGAGGGCCAGGGCCTTGCCACACTCCAACCCCCTTCCCTCCCTTGCAGAAAGGGTAGCCAAGCTGCATTAATTTGAGAGTGTAGATCAGGCATAGGCCAACTTGGGCCCTCCCTCCAGGTGTTTTGGACTTCAACTCCCATAATTCCTAACAGCCTCAGGCCCTTTCCTTTTCTCCCTCAGCTGCTTAAGCGGAAAAGGAAAGGGAAAAGGAAGGGGCCTTAGGCTGTTAGGAATTGTGGGAGTTAAAGTCCAAAACTCCTGGAGGGCCCAAGTTGGCCCATGCCTGGTGTAGATGCACCCTGAGAAATAATAATCTGCAAAGTCCTCCTCCTGAACTGGCCTCTTCTCCACCTCCCTTTTTAGCAAGAGGTAATGTGAAGCATCCTACAAATCCAAGCCAAGCAACATTATCAATAGTGAGGATTCTGGAAGCTGCAGCAAAACCCAGAACCCCCCCCCCCCCCCCCCCCCCCCGCAACTTGCCCATCTTTGCCTTGGCCACGTGTCAATGCCAGCCGCACAGGCGGAACATGATGCCACGTCTCTCAATGTTTTTCTTCTGGGGAATTTCAAAGGATCACAGTTGGAGGGGAATCTCAAGAGTCATCTAGTCCCACCCCTTGTGCCAGATAGTAGTCCACGATTAAAGACCTCCTGACAGATGCCCATTCATCCTCGGTTTCAAGACCTCCGAAGATGGAGAGTTCGAGGGAAGCTATTCCACTCCAATTTTATTGTCAAGACATTCTTCCTAATGTTTAGCTGGTATCTCTTCTCTTCCCATTGCAATTCCTGGACCAACCTTCTTTGCCGTGCCACCCTTTGGATATTTCAAGATGGCTCTCATGTCGCCTCTCCATCTGCTTTTCTCAACTCAGCTCCTGAAGCCATTCCTTCTGGCCAGGCTTAGCATGGATTTCATTGCTTTTAAATAATTTAGAGAAATTCGAGGGGGAAAATAATAGATTGCTTTGATGGTTTTGAACATGCCTGTAAATGAATGATGGGGGCCAGTGTTGAGCTTTACTGTAATATTACAATGCTTCTTGTTTTGCCTTTTTGCTGTGAAGAGTCAATTCACACGTAGAGTTACCATTTATTTTCACCTGCTCAACTCACATTTCCCTTAGTAAAAGAGATATAAGGTGATTTTTAACTGCAGTTTAAAAAGCATTTATTATGTTTACTGCCACATAGACAGATACATGAGCAATAGGGGACATTTACTTTGCTGCAAGGAGAAAGTGAGATATAGTGTTTACAGCCCTAGATTGGGACCTGGGAGATCTAGATTCGAAGTCCCTACTCCGCCTTGACACTAGCACCTGCACTATAGAATTAATGCAGTTTGATCCCACTTGAACTGCCATGGCTCAGTGCGATGGAAGCCTGGGAGCTAGAGTTTTGACCAGGTCTTTCGCCTTCTCTGCCAAGGAGTGCTGGGGTCTCACCAAACTACAACTCCCAGGTTTCTGCACTGGATGGCGGAGGGCACTCTGCATATGCTCGGGCACACTTTTCTTACTCCTGCCCTGGGTCCTGAGTGAATGGAAATCTCCACTAACCTTTCCCACTTCCCCTTGGGCCTTGTCCATCAGCTCTATAAATTTTTCCTAGCGCCAGCTAACCCATGCAACAGGATTTTATTTTTAAAAAGAAAACAACCTGAAACCTGTTTTGCAAGTGCTTTTGCCCGGTCCTGTCATATACGTCAAGCTCCATAGGAGAAAGAGGGAGGCAGTGACCCAAGAAGACAATGCGAGTCTCAACTACATTGGTCAGACTTCATCTGGGATAATGTTGTGTCCGCTTCCATTGTAATTCAGAGGCCATCAAGAAGCTGGAATGGGGACCCACCAAAATGGTCCAAGGTCTGGAAATTATGAATCCCTTTGAAGAGCTGCTTAGGGAGCTGGATAGGTTTAGTGTGGGAAAGAGAAGGTGGAGAGGGGGGGATAAGATCTGTGTTGAAAGAGCTGAAAGGATGTCATCTTGAAGCTTGTTTTCTGCTGCTCCAGAAACTAGGACACAACGTAGCCACAGATCCAACCTCCTGGATTCCACCTTAACATTAGGGAGAATATTTTTACTCTAAGAGCAGTTCACGTATCCTTTGGGAGGTTATATGAGCCTCTTTCAGGAGTGTTTTTCTTGGACTACATGGTCTTTGGGGCCCCTTCTGTCTCTAAGATCCTTCAGCTCTCTAGCATCTCACCTTTGTGGGTATTACTAGGGGAAAACATACCCATCAAAGTGCCCACTTTGGTTGCTTTTAGGTGTCTGAGTTTGTTCATGATGTATCCCTCCTTCCTTTCAACCAGGAGGCTGAGTTAAGCCTGGTCTAAGTCATCCCTACTGAAGGCTTAGGCCCCATTGGTTTCATCCAAGATGGTGAGTCGACTTCCACGCCCAGCGGACATGACTCGCTTCTGCCAGAAGCTCAACCGGGTCAAGACGCTGGAAGAGGACATGATGGAGACATCTTTCAACCGATGCCTGAGCACTATTGACTTGGCACTGCTGGGCATTGGGGGCATGGTGGGCTCTGGCTTATATGTCCTTACAGGCACCGTGGCCAAGGACACGGCTGGCCCGGCCATCGTCATCTCCTTCATCATCGCCGGCATTGCCTCGCTGCTGGCAGCCCTCTGTTATGCCGAGTTTGGCGCCCACGTGCCCAAGACAGGTTCGGCATACATGTTCACCTATGTCTCGGTGGGTGAGATTTGGGCCTTCCTGATTGGGTGGAACGTCATCCTAGAGTATATGATCGGGGGCGCCGCAGTGGCCAGAGCATGGAGTGGCTACCTGGATGCCATCTTTGACCATCGCATCAAGAACTTCACGGAGAGCCACGTGGGCACCTGGCACATCCCTTTCCTAGCCCATTACCCAGACTTCCTGGCCTTTGGCATCCTGCTCATCGCCACCACCTTGATCTCCTTCGGGGCCCGGGTCTCCTCTTGGCTCAACCACATCTTCTCCGCCATCAGCATGGGTGTCATCGTCTTCATCCTGGTGATGGGCTTCATCTTGGCCAGGCCCCAAAACTGGAGTGCTAGTGAAGGAGGCTTTGCTCCTTACGGCATTTCGGGCATCATGGCCGGCTCAGCTACCTGCTTCTATGCTTTTGTAGGCTTCGACGTCATTGCCACCTGCAGCGAAGAGGCCCGCAACCCACAGAGAGCCATCCCGAGGGCCATCGCCATCGCCTTGAGCCTGGCCACAGGGGCCTACATCTTGGTCTCTGTGGTCTTGACCCTGATGGTGCCCTGGCATTCCTTGGATCCGGACTCTGCCCTGGCCGATGCCTTTTACCGGAGAGGTTATGCCTGGGCCGGTTTCATTGTGGCAGCTGGCTCCATTTGTGGTAAGTCTCGGCTCTCTTTGTGCAAACCCTTCTCTGTCTCTCTTGGCCTTTTAAATTTGAACATTACAAGTCAGATATGCTCCGTCACATACATGTTTTTTTCATGACTTGCTTTGTCATTTCTATGTTGACTGAATGGCAGTGGTGATGAAATTGGGGGAGAAGTGCATGTGGTATTTTGTTACATTTGTCTAATTCAAAACAGCAACCATATTGGAAAAAAGTGTTTTTATCAGAAGCCTGTATTGATAACTGTTCTTCACAAAACAATGAATGCTTTAATACCATGGAAGTTGTAATTTCTCAAGCCTGTAGCCTTCTTGGCCAAAGTACAACTCCCAAGATTCTAGAGCATTGGGCCATGGCAGCTCAAGTAGGGTCAGACTGCATTAATTTGACACTGTAGATGCACCCTGGTTCTCCAGAACTGGATCCAGCCAGCTGGCCTGATGTTCTCCAAGGTTGCAATGGGCTTCTTCATCTCTCCAATAGCTTTCAGTAGGAACTAGTGGCTATCTGTCGAGTCGTCTCTGATGCCATGGCTTTTCTTTCCCCTCCCCAGCAATGAACACAGTCCTCCTCAGCAACCTGGTCTCCCTGCCCCGGATTGTCTATGCCATGGCTGAGGATGGGCTCTTCTTCCAGGTCTTCTCCCGCATCCACCCCCGGACCCAGGTCCCAGTGGTAGCCAGCATAGTGTTTGGCATCCTCATGTCACTCTTGGCTCTCATCTTCGACCTGGAGGCTCTGGTCCAGTTCTTGTCCATCGGCACCCTCTTGGCATACACCTTTGTGGCAGCCAGCGTCATCATCCTGCGTTTCCAGCGGGACAAAACAGGAGCAACTGGGGCATCCAGTGGAAGTGAAGCCACTCTACCTTCGGCGGAGACCATCAGCAACAACGAACCCAAGGAGTATGAATCATTCTCGGACAAACTGCAGCTTGTGAGCAAGGAGAAAGGGAAAGGCCAACGGGAACCAGGGCAACTCAAGGCGGCTTTTGAGCCCTACCTGGACTTCCTCAGCGATTTCTACCCGGGCGAAGTGGTCACGGTGGGAGTGATTATCCTGATGGTCTCGGCCGTCTGCCTGTCAGCCATCTTGGTCTTTGGGAGGAACCAACTCCACCTGCCCACCTGGAGCTATGTGTTGCTGCTCCTGCTCTTTGGCCTGGGCTTGGCACTGAGTTTGTTCCTCATCAGCATCCATGAGCAAAAGAAGAGTACCCAGACATTCCAGGTAAGGAGGCTTGAAGTCTAAAGCAAAAGTGGGGTACCATCTTCCCATCTTTCAGTTTCGAAGACATTCTGCAGTGGGTGGGGCCAAGGGCCAAAGGGGCGAGACCAGGCACAGCACACAGTTTTTCACTGTTCAAAAACATTCAGGAAGTGGTCGAGAAACACGTTTTTCAGGTATCAAGAAACAATGACAAGAGCTGATAGAATCTTTGAAGATCAGGACATCTTCACCACAAAACTCACACATGGCTTCATCTCCCTGTCTGCTTCCTCTTCAGCTCCCACTGGTCCCACTGACTCCTGCGTTGAGCATTTTCATCAACGTCTATCTCATGCTGAAGCTCAACTACATGACATGGCTGCGGTTCACTGTCTGGCTGATAGCAGGTGAGCTTCAGGAGTGTGAGCAGAGAGAGATGCCCTGGAAAGTGGGCATCAAATCAAGGGGAGATGTGGGGAAATCTTAGAAATATAGAACTAGTGTTGGAGATGGGGTCTTCCAGCTCTGAGATGGCATGCCAATGGGGCCTACTTCCAAAGCCTGTACGTGTATAATAAATGGTGGGTCACTTTCAGCTTAAGAAAGTGTGGCATACTGAAGAATAAGCCCTTAGGTAGCCTCTCTTAGCTTGTATGTTCTTCTCTATAACCTTTGCCTTCCGATGTTGGTTGTCCACATGTGTCCTGGTTTCCATCTGTGACACCTTGGGAGGGTATATCACTGGGACTGATGGGAATTGGATTCCAATTGTGGGTCAGATATGTCCCCCCTTCTGGTTTTTGTTTGGGAAATAAGGGAGTAGTACACTGCCATGAACTTGCTCTCTCTCTTCCTTCACCAGGCTTAATGGTCTACTTTGGCTACGGCATATGGCACAGCAAAGAGAACCAGCGAGAGCCCCAGGGGCATGCCGTCAGCGCCCGCTACGTGGTGTTTCCCAGTGGCAGCCTCGAAGAGACAGTCCAGACTGTGCAGCCCAGTACACAGCCCTCTCAGGGCCTGGAGGAAACCCCGGAAGAGGAAGCCAAGAGATGATGGAGTGAGCCGAAGCAGCGGAGGCCAGTCCCTTGTCCCCTGCCCAGCTCACCGAGTCTCCAGTGTTGGGGCGAAAAATGGGCTCTCCCTGTGGGCCTAGCAAGCAACTGCCAATGAAGCAGAGAACTGATTGCTTCTCCTGCCTTGCTTGGCCCCCATCTCTGGGACTGGGAAGCTGGACCCATCTTGTTGCTGGATGCTCTCAGATGCAGTCCAGTCTGTCCCACTTTTGGGCCTGGAATTGGCCCTGGATCCAAAGCAAGTATGTTCCAATTTGCAACCGCCCCACAGGTGAAAGAACTCACTTCCTGCTTTCATTACTTCCTTCTTCCTTCTTTGGAAATCCTTCCTCTTCCTTCCCATCCTTACTGGGTTCTCTATGCAGGAGTGCAGACTCCATTTCCATGCATGCAGGTGGGAAAGGGATGCAGCTTCCCCCCCCCCCCAAAAAAAAATTGGGATGCCGTGGATGTCCATTCTTGGACAGGACTCCTTGAGATGTAGTTAACCTCTATGTCTTCCCAACACCACATACATATGATAACTCTACATGTCCCCCTTGAGATGTAGTTGACCTCTATGTCTTCCCAACACCACATACATATAACTCTACATGCCCCCCTTGAAATGTAGTTGACCTCTATGTCTTCCCAACACCACATACATATGATAACTCTACATGTCCTCCTCTTCCCACACAATGCCTTGTAGAGGACTTGAGCATCTCAGAAAAGATCTTCCTCTCTTAGCTCTTCATAGGTGGTGAGTTCTTGCACTCCTTCACTCAGTCAGTGGTCCCCACACTTCCAAACACTTGAGATCCTACTTTTTTTAACTGAATGATAGTTGGAAGCATATTTTTTTATAGTGGGGAAGGTTTCCTATAAGCATAAGAATGTATTTTGGAAAGATTCCAATGCAAAACAGGTTGACACAATTTGAAATCAGCTCCCAGTCTTTCATTGATCTGGCTTGCCCTTGGTTTCTGGCACTTTCCTGGCTTTTCCTTCCTCCTTGGAGGGCAGATGATGTAAGCACTTTGCATCAGCAGTGGTGGGTTCGAATGATCCAGCTGCACCAGGGACCAATGTAAAGCACAAGCCCAATGGAAAGGGCAGCAGATAGGCCATCACTTTTGGACACACACGTTATGTTTCCGTTTTTTAACTCCCTATGACATTTAAGTTGGGGAAGCGCTGTGCTTTCCCATTGGGGTATTTTTAAGGCTGACCCATCCCTGTTGGGTCTAATTCTTTCCAAGCAAAACAAGGAAAAGGATTTGATTCTGCTCCCAACCACCCAGTGAACCCTGTCTCTGCCGGAAGTCCACCCCTAGGGCAGCCCTGACACAAGATCAGCCTCTTTGCTCTTTGGTGCCTTTCTTGTCTTCACTGTGCTCAAGAGAACCCTTGTCTTGGCTCCCTTGTACGGTCTGTCCAGAACTGCTTTCTCTACACAAGGGGCACATGCCCGTTTGTGTGGGTTGCATGTACGCACCATAGCTCTATATCAGAGATTTGGGTCCAGTTTTCACTTCAAACAATGAAAACAAATCTTCTGCGACTAAAGACCCCAAAATGTTGTCAGGGAGCTTCACTGGGCCATGGTCCCGCTCGGCCGCTTTTCACAGACTTCTGGCTGTGCCCACTTCTGCCAAGCAGGGAAACAGAGCAGCCAAGGCTCTCGCTGCCATCCAGTATCCCCTTGGCGTAGCATAAATCTCCCTACTCTGGGGTAATGCTACACCAACCCTACCCAATCCCCAAACACAACTGCAAGCATAGTGGCGCGTTCTACACAACTCCGCTTCCACCGCTGTCAGCTGAATACGTCCGTTGTGTTATGGTGAATAGTCTGCCGTCCCACAGGCATAGGGTGACTTTTGCTGGTGGGCCAGCTAAATAATATCCGCAAGCCTCACAGAGACGTCCTGGTGAATAAGAAACAAGTAAGGGAGTTTTGTGGGTTCCCCTCTTGCCAACTCCTGAAAAGAAAGCGTCTTACTCCCCGCTTCTGCTGCAACAAAGCAAGCAAAGGCCCGGTCTCCCGAATGAAGGTAGCATGGCTACTTCTGGCCGTTTTGAACCGGGGCTATCATCCCAACAGTCACCTGCTGTCAGTGAAGGTGCTCTCTCATAGGTAACATGTATTGTATCTCTGTGCGTTCTGGCTGCTGCTCCCATCAGCCTTGAAAGCTTCAGCGCTAGCTGCCTCAGTGTCAGCCTCACTGCGACCATGTTCCCCGCTATGCTGCTCTGCAAAGCCAACCTTGCATAAAGATTTGTTGTACCTTGGCTGTGTGATCTGATGGTGATTTGATAGTCTTTATGACGGGCACAATAAAAATTAGTTATTTCTTGCAAGCCAAGATGGCAGCAGCGTGTACAGGGACCTCTTGGGATATTTAATTCCAGACTTCTTGCATCCAGTTCCCAAGTCCCCAAAATGACCCAATCGACTTCCTCTAGGGATGTAAAGAATCTATCTTAATCTTTATAAGCAAGCAAGAGAACACTTTACTAGGAGTAAATATTTGATAAGATGTTACTTCCAACTAAACTTTCCTGATCTATGGGGCTTTTGCACATAAGAACAGCTTTAAACAATTTTCTGATGTTCCATGGGCTGAACATGAAGAATATTTCCTGCATACTTTTGTCCAGGATTTACTTCCTAGCAGCCATGGATTCCAAGAAGTGGGGCTTGGAGGAAAAAATCTGGGAAAGCGGGAGATCTTTCCAGTTTGGGCCATGTAAGAAACAAGAGGGAATGGGTTGGTGATATGCTGCCATTTATTATAAAACAGTTCTGCCTGTATCATCGCTCGAAATACAGCTCTAGATGCCTCATTCCAAGGAGGATAAAAAACCCAAAGTCCAAAGATTTAATGAACAATTTCACACTGGCATGGTCACTTCGTAGGCAATCATCAGAAGGCTGTGTGCCCCCTTTCTGATTTTAATTTGGGAAAGAAAGGCACGCCATGGCTGACTGACATTTGGGAACTGCAAGGTTAGAGAGCAGGAGAAAGCAGTGTTATCCCAGACAAGGATGGAGGAGAATCACATGATCTTTCCAGTCCTATCGCTGACCAAGATCGAGGGTTCCCCAGGCATCCAGTGACGGGGACCTTCTTAGGAAACCTACAAAATAGGAAAAAATACACTTCACAGAGTCAGTGGCATTGCTCTTCTTCCCCGGGGATTCACTGAGTCGCTTGACCAAAAATACAGTTGGGAAGAATGAACCCTCTCAGGCACTGATGCCATTAACAAACCAAGTTGCCCCCCCCCCCCAGGTTGAATCACTTTCCGCACCTTTAAGGGTTGTGTTCTGAACAGATGGCTGGTTCTGTCATGCTTGACCTGGAGGCTGGGCACAACTCCCAGCACAACATCACAGAGTTCCATGAAGTTCTCCTTCACCACAATTTCCTGAAAGGGGAGAAAAGTACCCTTTGCTCTCGATCTCTCATGTCAAGGTTCATACATCAAGGACAATGAGAACAGACAGTACAGTTCTCAAGGAAGGTCTTACATTCCCATCCAGCAGCTACCTGGCTGCCCTGGGCCAAACTGAAAAGAAATCACCCTCCTGTGGACACAGCTGTCATTGGCATCATGTGTAAATGATTGAGCAAACCTACGGGAACTCTTAGAATTCTCCCTAACCCAGTGCCTTCCTGGTGTTTCCAGCTATGGTTCCCATTACTTCAATTGATTGGAGCTGATAGAAGTTGTAGTTCAAAACACAGGGAAGGTTGGTCTGCTACACCTCAGCCAGATCCTAGATTCCTTTCTGGCCCTCACTTGAAACCTACCGACAAGTCCAGATCCTCTAAAGCGGTGCCCGGATTGGCTCGGAGGGCTTTGAGGATCCCGATGCAGCCCTCATTTTGGATAGGGTTCCTGGCCATCTGTAGATGATAGAAAAGTGTGCTAGTTTTGGCTCAACTGGCACAACTGGGATCTAGCTTTCCTCCAAAACTACTCACACTGAGGCTTTTCAGAGTCTTGTTTTCCTTCAGGCCCAAGGCGAGCGAGAGGGCTCCTTCCAGTGCAATGCGGTTATTGCTGAGAAGAGAGAAAACCATCTTGAGCCCTAGTCCTCCTTTGGCTTTTATGGAAGGCAAGATCAAGCCTCCATATGGAATATATCTTGTCAAGAAAAGATAAGCTGTGAGTTGACTTGAATGCCCGTGGGTTGGGAGTTGATATGAAGGTATATGAGTTGGGAATTGACTTGAAGGCACATGGGTTGGGACTTGATTTGGAGGTATATGAATTGGGAGTTGACTTGAAGGCCCATGGGTTGGGAGTTGATTTGAAAGTGTATGAGTTGGGAGTTGACTTGAAGACACATCGGTTGGGAGTTGATTTAAATGACCATGGGTTGGGAGTTGAATTGAAGGCACATGTGTTGGGAGTAGACTTAAAGGTGTGTGAGTTGGGAGGTGGCCTCAACTTCAACACACCAACAGTATGGAAGTGGTAACAATGACCTGTTTTATGGGTGAATGGGAAGAAAAATCCCGAATGCTCAAAAAGTGATCTAAAAAGGCAAAATACCTGATATGGAGTGCTTCCAATACATTGTTGACTTTCAAGGCTTCACCCAGAGCTGCTGCCCCATTGTTGCCAAAGCCGTTGTAGGCAAGATCAACCACCCGTAGAAATATATTGGCCTGTGGATGGAGAGACCACCACAGCAAAATGTAAGGTGGGTCTTTCCCGCTCCCTTTCCATGGCCCACCTTATTCCCTTGTTCTGGGGACCTATAATACCTCTTCTTGTCAGCCAGCTCTATGGTTCCATGATCACTATGATCTGTTCTAGAAGGATGTTGCTATCTGTGTGGGGAATGCCCACCCCACCCCAACTGCTCTCCTGCCCTATGATTTCCTTCATTCATGTCCCAGGTAGTCTTTCCTCAAGTAAAACACAAGCACAGTGAGAAGGCAGCTCCTACCCCCAAGCCTCTGGCGACTGCAACAGCTCCTTGGCCACGAATGGAGTTCCAGCTGAGATTGAGCTCCTTCAGGCCCACATTTTCTGCAATCGCTGCTCCAAGAACATTCCCTAGTGAGCAAAAAAAGAGTCCCAGTACAAGACATGTAAGATGGTCTCAGCTAAGAACCACATTATATGGAATCCTAGAACATGCTCCCCAACAAACTACACATCCTAGGATCCCATGAGACAGTTAAAGTGGAATCATGGCACTACAACTGCATGGCATTCCTTGGAGAACAGCCATTTATCTTCTAAGCACGTTGCAGAGTTTACCATCAAAACTACACTTTCAGCCACATTGTGCCCCTTTTGGGGCAGGATTTTTTTATCACTCTTACAGTACCGGGGCAGAAAACTGGCCCATAAACCTACCCCAGCTGCCCCCAACTGTCTTGTTATCATCCAAACTTGACATGTTGTCCCAGTCAAAGAAGCCCAGGTATTTCTCCTTGTAGAGCAGGAAGGGAAAGGTGTCCCAAGCGGAGGAAGAGGATGCTTGAAGGAAAGTGGGCAACAACTCACAAGAATTCAAGCGAATCAAGAGAGGCCTATGAGGCCTATGCACTTTGATAACACACAATACACATT